ACCTAGATACTTAAGAACTGCATAGGGGAAACTGAGGCACCCCCACACTATTCAGAGGAAACATTACGAACAGTCCCGCTTCGTTACACCCTGCTGTGGCAATATGTGGCTGGCTGGTTCAGAACAAGTGCAAGAGCAGGGCCGAGCGCTAGAAGGTGGCCGTGAGCTGAGTTCAGGGCCGGGCCAGGTTGTTCATGTGCATTTAATAAACACCAAAAATCCCCAGCATGGAGAACTCCAAGCTGAACTTTGTGGGAAGCCCCAACTCTGGAACAAACAGGGTAACATGACACCTAGTCTGTCCCCAGTGCTCCCCGCAGAGCCCACCCCAGCCCCCTTCAGCCTTAATCCTAGCCCCTTCATCTACCTCAAACTGTGTCCCTGCCTCCCTGGGCCTTGGAGGGGAGCTTGGTGCTGGTTTCAGGGTGTCCGCCCCACCCAGCTGCCCTGAGGGGAGTTTTCCCAGCTGGCAGCTCCCAGTGCCTGGGGTATGATGGGATGGAAGAAAGGGCTCAGGAATGCCACAGGGGCTAAGGGCCCCATGTTCCTCTGGCCCTGCCCACACACTCCTGCTGTTATGGGGGTGTTGGCATGAGGGGGCGCACACAGCCTTGCCCCTCACTATGGTGGTGGCATGCAGAGACCCCATTGATGGATGGCTAGCAGAGCCTTCTTGATGCCTAGATTTCAAGCCGCTCCCAGGAGCTGCCTCTTACTTACTCTGTGCATTACGGTCTTGCGTAGAGGCCTCAACCGAGAGCGGGGCCTTGGTGTGCTGGGCGCTGCACAAAGCCCCAGTGAAAGCCAGGCCAGGCCCTGCCCTTCATCTGTACAGACCGGGGGATGGGGGCAGAACCAGCCTCATCCTGCCAAGGCCTTGGCTCCAGCAGGGAGATGGGGTGGGGGTGCTGTGCCAGACCCCTGCCCCCCACTGCTCTGACGCCAATCCCCTCTCTGAGGGCTGCGGCCATACGCTGGACTCCCTGGGTGGCCAGGTGCAGGCTGGCTGGCTTGGTGCCCTGCTCCCCCCAGCTCTGGCCCTGCTGTTCCTTGCCGGGCTCCTGTGCATGTTAGCGAGTGTGGGGGCTGGTGCCTCTGAGACGCTGGCAGAGCCACCAGTGCTGAGTGACTCCCCCCCGAACACGAGGGGTTCCTGTGACTAGGGCCGACTCTCTGCACGGAACCAAGTGGGGCTGGAGCCCAGAGGTTCCCCAGTGGATCCATGTGGGCAGCAGGAGGGACAGAGACTGTTTTAAACGGTCACTGCTTCTCTGAGCAAGGGGCCAGCCGGTGGCCACATGGCAGGAGAGCGGGCTGGAGGAGGGAGCAGCAGGAAGGGCTGCCTTGTGTATGGACGCTGACCAGCCCTGGGACTCGCAGGAGGGGTGAGCTCGGCTTCGGGGGAGGGGGGGCGTTCAGCCCTCATTTGCCCAAGCTCTGCGCCTCGCTGTGCCATGGAAGAGTAAAGTGCCTGGCTAGGAAATCCCTTTGCTGCACCCGCGTTCCTTGCTCCCCTGCCACGACAGCCCTGAAAGAGTTAATCGAACACACCGTGCGACCCCAGGCAGGTGGCCTCGGAGGCGGGGAGGGGACGGGAGGTGTCTAAGTGACTGGGACCCTGGCTCCAGGGTCCGGACGGACAGACTTCCCACGTTCCTCATGCACATCCCGGAAGGCGCCGGACGCAGCCTCCTTCCTTGTCCAGTTTTAGAAGCTGGAGCTGAGCCAAGACCCCTTCCCTGGGCACCGCGGCCAGTCTGCGGAGAAGGGCGAAGGCCGGTGCCCGCAGCACCTTGGCTCAGGCCCAGTGACGGTGGACTAGTGTAGCCACTGTCCCAGCGAGCAGAGCCAGGCCAGCTCCTGCCTTGCTCGCCCTCTCCCAGCCCCGAGGGAGTCGCCCAGCTGGGCTCCTGGGGAGAGGTGGGGTGCTGGCTGCTCTCCCCCGCAGGAGTGGTACCAGGCTAGTGCTCCCTCCGCCAGGCTGCGGCTGCTGGCCCTGACACTGTTGCTGAAGGAAGCCAGGGCAGGTGGGCCGAGCTGTGGAGCAGCCGGCTCTGCTCTCGCCTCCCGGGGCAGTACTAGACCTTAGAGGGGCCTGGGGGCTGCGAGCTCCTGAGTGGGGGAGGATGGGGCCACAAGCAGCCATTCGCTAGGGGAGAGGGGGCCGGCAGGGCTGCTCCCCTCAGACTGGGGCCTGTTAAAGGGCCTGGGGGGCTGGAACAGGGATCTGGGTTTGAGTCTCAGCAGCCCGTGTGACTCAGACCCAGTTGCGTATGGCCAGGGGTCCCAGCTCCCAACACGGCCCCGAGGCGCTGGGCCCTGGGGCATCCAGCCTGGGCTGCAGAGAACCTGGGGCGTCCCCTGGAGCAGCCAGCAGGAAAGGTAGGGGAGGTGGAGGGCTGAGGGGTCAGATGTGGGGAAGTATCAGAGCTGGTGGGGATGGCAGGGCTTTGGAGCTGGGGGTTGGTGCAGGCCCGTCTCCTGTACAGGATGATGCACAAAGCGCTGCCTTTGCAAAGTGTTTTCCTCTGGGCCCTGCCCCCAGCTCCCGCCGTCTCCAGGGAGCCAGGTTTAACCCGCTGCCCCCCCCCGCCCCCCCCCGGCTTGCGGGAGGGGGGCTGCCATGAGCTGCTCTGGGGAGCGCTGACCGCCAGGCTCCTCCAAACTATTTCCTGTTGCTGCAGCATTAATGCTAAACAGATCTTTCTCTCCCACGTCCCAGCCAAAGTGCAGCCGGCTCCTGCCGCCACCGCGCAGCCCCAGATCCTGCATCAGCCAGGAGGCCCCGTGGCCCCCAGCACCCCTCGGCCCGGTGAGTACCAGCCCCACCAGCAGCTGCCTGCGCGGTCTCCCTTTTGGTCGCTCCTACTCTGGCCTCGGACGGTCCTTTGCAAAGGAAGCTGCAGGGACTAGAAAAGGCATTTGGGAGGGAGCCTTCCTGTCCCAGCGCAGGGGGGGCAGCACGGCCCCCAATGGGTCAGAGCTGGGGCCAGGTCACGGCCCCTTCTATCCTAGCCACCGCCGACAGGATGGGAGCAGATGCCCCCAGCCTCTCATCCACCGTACCACAGGCCCCCATCTTCTGTCTGCGTCCTGGACAGAGGCAGGACAGCGGGAAGGCCTGAGCATGCCCCCATCCCATGCTTCATGCTCTGGGCCATGATACGGGGCCCTTTCCACTATGTGAACGTGTCACATTTGTGGGTACTCCCGTGCACTGCCCACACCCTGGCTGGCTGGCTGGATTCCCCAGCCTGGCACTCCCTCCTATCGCCCCCATTCCCCAGCGCAAGGGGGTGCAAGAAACAGGCTCCTCCTTGGGACGTGCCAAGGAGAAGAGCCAGGAACCAGAATTCCCTGAAGACGACGGTGCCTGGGCAGCCTGGGTGCCCCCGAATGCTGTCTGCTTCGCTTTTTGCCACCTGGTATCAAAGGGCACGGGAGGAGGCTGGTGCGCAGCTCGCCTCTGCCCTGGCACTGCACCCAGCGTGCTCCCCCTTACCCCAGACAGTCTAGCCCCCTGTGCCCCATATCCGCCTGGCTGAGCAGGTGCCCTGGCCCAGCTCCCCCTGACCTGCTGTCCTCCCTGCATTGCACACCCTGACTCAGTGTCAATCATTAACCAGGTGCTGCCCAAGGCTGGTGAGTGCCACGGCCCCTCCTCCCCAGTGCGGGCCCTGGCAGGTCCATGCTGGACCAGCTACCGGCTGGGCGAGAGCAGGCAGGGCATGTGGGCTTTGGAGAGTCCTGCAGCAGGACTGGCTCCCAATCTAGGGAACCCCTCACTGCTGCTGGTATCGAGCTAGACTTCATGTCCCACCCCAGGGGCATCGAATGCATCAGGAACCCAGGCTGGGGTTTCCAAAAGCACCTCAGTCATCTTGGAGCGCCCTTTGCAAGGGCATGCAATGTGCACGCCACAATCACCTCGGCTGCTGGAACCCCTCCAGAGACTCCAAGGGGCCCCCTACCCCACTGAGCTCCTGGGGGGCCAGAGGCAGGTTCCCCATTGCAGGGTGGGGTTCCCTGGGGGCTCTCAGAGCCCTGTGCCAGGGCTGTTGTGCATTGGGAGGGGCCCTGCTGCCTGCGGGGAGCGCGAGCAATGGCCTGTCCAGGGACAGTTCTGCTGATGTGTCACATATTTGCTGCATTTCTTTCCTCATTCCTCCCTGGGTAGAGACATTTCTGGGAAATCAGCTCACCCCTGCCAGGGCCCGAGTGCAGGGAGAGTCGCTGGAGCTCTGGGGGCATCTTCTACCCACGCTCCTTCCAATTCATCCCCTTGACTCCTTCCCCCACGCGTCAGACTGCACCAGTTCTCGGTGAAAACCCTCATCCTGGCTGCAGACTGGCCCGAGGCCAGTCACATGCGACTCTGGGCCATGCCTGGCGGAGGGGGGCATTTTGGGAAGACTGGGCCATGCCTGGGGCCCCGTGTTGGGGCGACTCTGCTCCGTGGCTGGGGCCCCATGTTGGGTGCGTTTGGGCCATGCCTGGGTTCCCGTGTGGGGTGACTTTGGGCCATGCCTGGGGCCCTGTGTGGGGTGACTTTGGGCCATGCCTGGGGCCCTGTGTTGGGTGCCTTTGGACTGTGTCTGGGGCCCCGTGTTGGGATCGTTTGGGACGTGCCTGGGGCCCCATGTTATGTGTTTTTGGGCCATGCCTGGGGCCCTGTGTTGGGGGGACTTTGGGCCGTGCCTGGGGCCCTGTATTGAGTGCGTTTGGGCCGTGCCTGGGGCCCCGTGTTGGAGGGACTTTGGGCCGTGCCTGAGCCACGTTCCAAGGGAGCCAGAGGCTGGAAATTGAGCAAATATCTCAGCCTGGGGTGAGCATTTCTTTGAGGTTTTTGGCTCGTTGGCCCCCGAAGTAGAAATTAATTGGGTGGTGCTGGGCCCCAGAGGCCCCCTGTGCTTCCCCATGCAGTGCCAGGGGATTAGCTCGTCCCTGTTGTGACACCCCCCCCCGCCCTCCGAAAGGCCCTGTGGATCCACGGGGCAGTCTGAGCCACAGAGGGTTCCTCAGGGCCCAGCGCCCCCTTTTCCCATTGCCTTTAAATCTCCCCCCTGCTGAGCTTCCTGCCGAGGGGGGGGAGGGGCCGGCCAGGGGAGGGACAGGCTTGCCCTCCCCTCCCCTCCGACAGCGACTTTTCCCGTGGGCGCTGTAGCCCGGAGTCGAACACTTATTGCCTGTTCTCACATCTGGAAGGAAGTGAGCGGCTCTTTCCACTGGCCGCCGGCACTGGGGCGGGGGGCTGGCAGCCAGCTCCCGTCCCGCCCCAGCTGCAGAGGGCCCGGGGAGCACCAGACCGGGGCTGCTCCAGAGCCCGCGCTCGCGGACGGACCTGGGGGGAGCCGGGAGCCCCAGAGCCGCAAGGCCCCTGCTGTGAGGGTGGCAGCACGCGGGGTAAGCTGGTGCCTGCGACGGGCACCCCTCCTTTCCTTGGCATAGCGCAGCGGGGGGTGTGGGGCCGGTGTGGGGGGCGGTTGGGGGCGAGACCTGCTCCTTAATGTCACGGTCCCAGGTACTTCAGCATTAACCGTTGCCCGATCCCTGGGTGAAGCGACACAGGTCTGCTTTCGCCAGGCCCGGGCAGCCGGGCTGTCAGCAGGAGGCTGGCGCCCTCGGCCGCTCTCTGTGCCCGGCTCCCTGGCTGCTGGCGGGTCGCGCCGGGGGTGGCATTGTGTGCGATGCCCCTCGGGCCACGGGCTGCTCTTGCTGCCCCCCCGTACCCCCCAGGGATATGGCCTCTGGCTGAGTGACTCCCGTGGCTGGGGTCTCTCACAATGTGGGGCTCTGTTGTGGGCCCCTGGACCACGCTTCCCCCTCCGGGGGCCCCAGAGCTGGGCAGCGCATGGGGCTGTGTTCCTGGAGCCTTGCACGAACCGGGCGTCTCCCTCAAATCCGCCGGCCATATCCCCCCGGGGTTCCCATGTGCAGCCAGGGGCCAGGCCCAGCTCTACTCCCCGCAGGCGGCTCTGTGGATTCCAGCCTGGGGCTTGACCCCGAGGTCCTGCCAGCGCCCCCAGCCAGGAGCCACCAAGTGCTGCCATGAGCTGCCTCCGTGCCCCGTTGTTGGGGCCTGGCAGCTGGGACTCTCCCGCCACACAGCTGGCCCCGCTGGATCGCGCTGTCATGCCGCCCCTGCTCTGGGAGCAATGGGCTGGGGTGGGAAGGGGGGTCCCGGCTGATCCAGCCCCACAGCAGCCAAGAGGCACCCCCAGCCCACCTGCCCCAGCAGCAGGGAGAGCCCGAGGTGTCTGAATTCCCCACACAGTGGAGGGGAAGGGAGCGAGGGGGCAGGGAGCAGAGCAGACAGAGCTGAAGCCACGCCAGGACCAGCTGGTTATCAAGGCCTCAAAGCAGGGGAGGGGGTCGATTCTGCAGGCACACGGCTGGTGGAGCAGTTGCGGTGGCCCTGGCAGCCTCATGTACCGTCCATGCACCCCGTCCTGCTCTGCCATGCTGCCCGTCAGCCCCATCCCCGCCTTCACTGGCAGCGTCACTGCCCAGCGTGGGGCACCGAGCCCCGGGTGTAATTCCCTGCTCTTAGGTGCAGGAAGGGGCTGTACGGCGGGGCGGGGCCCATGCAAACCAGTGACATTACTCCACCCCACAAAGCCACCGCTGGCCTGTCCGGGGAGGAAGCCAAAGTTGCCAAGTCTCACAAGATAAATATGCCACTCGGCCTTTCAAAAACAAGCCCAGGCCGCCCCAGAACAAGCAGCTCGGGAAGAGGTGACTTGAGTCCGTCCCCCCACCCTCCCCGGGCCGGCCAGCCACCCCCGGGTTCCTGGTTCCACTTCCTCCCTCCCTCTGTCTCTTCTCCTACACACCCTCCCCACCAGGTTCCCAACTCTGGGCTCCCTCCTCTCTCTGCTCCCTCCCACCCCCTACGCTAAGTAAACACATGGCCTGCAGATAAAGTGCTATGGTTTTAATTTAAAAGGCGAGGAGGGGGAGGGAGAAGTAAACTGGCCCCTTCTAGTTGTATTTAGAAACCTGCCAAAGGCACTCATCAGAGTTTCCCACAGATTAGGTTCCTTTGAAACAAATGGTTATTAAAGGACTAAACTTCCCCTCGTCCAGCCAAACGGGAACTCTGAGCCTTCCTCTTCCCCGCGGGGAGCCCGCCCCTCACAGCTGCTAAGGCCCAGAGAAGTTGTCAGTACAGCATCGAGGTGCCAGGCTCTTTAGAAGGGCAGCAAGACCCGGTCCCTGCCCCCAAAGAATTGACAGTAGGTAGGCACCATACCATTGTGGGCAGATGGAAAGAAGGCAATAGAAAGCCAGACATCTAAGCAGCAAAGTAAGGCGCAGTGTCTGGTTAGTTCCCTAATTTGTTTGAAGTATGTGTTGGGAGGGAAGTCAGAGGACTGGCGGGAAGATCAGGGTTTGAAGGAAGACATGCAGACTGAAGGCGGGCCTGGAGGAGAGAGTGGGTACATGGCAGCTTGGTGCTGAGAGGGGGATCATCCAAAGTGCATGGAGTAAGAGTCGGTTCTCCCACTCCCGTGCTCCTGGTTCCCTCACGCCCAGGGCTGGGGCAGCAGGGGGCTGTGGGAGGAGATTGAGAGGTAGGAGCAGATGGTGGGGGAGAATCCAGGGCTGCAACTGCTCGGGGGGCTGGAGATCAGAACTGAGGGGCCGTCCACAGAGCTGGGGGGCCTCGGAACGGGGTCGCGCTGACGGAGGGGCATGGGCTGGCTCCCGCCCTGCTGGCTCTGTGCCTGGCTCCAGCCCATGTTCCTAGCCCTATAATTGCTCAAGTGCTGAATTCATCCAAAACGTTCAGGGGAAAGAATAGAGGCGTTTCTGTGCTCGGCTGCGGCTGGTTTCTGCATCTGCAGCTCCAGAGCCCCCAGCCAAGAGCGTGTGGTCAGGAGCCCGGCGTCTGCAGATTTACTGCCATTCCACGCATTGTTGGGATCATCCTATTTACTCAGCGCAAGCCAGAAACGGTCTGGGGCAGATCTGGGCAGGGGAACAGTGGTGGCGGGGCTGAGCTGGGAGAGCTGCAGCCTGCTGGAGTATCCCAGGGAGAGCCGCTGGGGGCCTGACAGAGCCACACTTGGGACAGTGGCTTCTTAACATCTGTGTCCGGCTGCCAGCCAGCCCAGGCCAGGGATGCAGGCTGGCCATGTGGTGTCATTTCATGGCTGGGGGATGGGCAGCTGGCACCCAGAGCTCAGTGCATTGGGAAACACTAGTTAGTGGGGCGCCCTCCTGCGACACTGTCATAGCACAGGGAGACAGTTGTGCTCTCTCCCCCGAGGTGGCTGCATTTGGCTGGTGGTCTCTGCCGAGCTGTGTAACGTGCTTGGGGAGCCCTCAGGACGCTGGAGGAGTGCCAGCATGGAGCATCGCCAGCCCTGCCTTCCTGCCACAGGAGTGACCCTCTCCTTCGTTGTCCTGGAGGATGCTGGGAAGGGAAGGCTATTGACTGGGTTATTTGCCTCTGCTCCATATCCACCAAGTAGATGCATGGCGCAGTCAGCAACTGAGCAAGCTTCCCCCTCTTCTCAGCTCTCAGCGTCCCCCTACGGACGGCCCATCGCTCCCCGGCATCTCCGCTGAGAGGCCAGCAAGGGCTGCAGTCAGGGCCAGCTGTGGGGGGCGGGGAGTTGCCTGATTTCCATGGCTGTTCTCCCCCAGTCTGCTAGTGCCCAGCCTTGCCAGGCTGAGGGCTGGTGGGTGCGGTGGGATCGCCCATCAGATGAGGAGGGCAGAGGAATGAAGGCTCCAGCCAGAGCAGGACCTCCTGAGCCAGACTCCTCTGAACTGTGACGCATCATCAAGGGAGGACAGCAGTGCTCCCCCATAGCGGGCAGCCGGCCCAGCCCTGTGCCCCCAGCCAGTGCCCTGGCCAGCACTTGGTGACGAGGGCCGGGAGGCGAACAAGGGAGGAGCCTGGGTTTGCTCCCATACCTGATAGCAGCAGCAGGGTGGGATCCCACAGGGGCGTGGGACCCATTGCTCTCAGCCCACTTCTGCCCTGGGCATTAATGGCACCCTGAGCTGCAGGAAGGGATGTTGGCAGGGCTCTGGGCTTTGGACTGAGAGAGGCCATGGCTCAGCATGAGAGGGGTCCCTGGGCGCCAGCCTCAGGGAACGCACCTGCTGCCTGCTCACAGAAAGCGAAATCCCCAGTTGCTGTAGGCTTCTCGCCCAGCTGCTTCTGGACAGGTTCTCCTAGGAGCCCAGCACACACCATGCACCCAGTTCGCCATGCTCTGCTGAAAGCCTGAAAATCCAGCCCTGTCAGCAGAGCGGTGACTGCACCGGACTCTGCAAAGCATGACCAGGCCCTTGCCCCAGAGAGCCGACAGCAGGACCTGGGCCAATGGGGAAAGGTGAGAAGTCCTTGCTGAGCTGGAGCCCATGGAGAACGTCAGTGCCCTAAGGCACCCAAGGGCCTGGATTCTCCACCATGTCCACACAGGGGCAGCTGGGAGCAAGTTAGGGTGACCTTGCACCACTCCAGGCTGGGGAGTAGCAGAGCTTGGCTCCACTGTGCCCCTCCGGCCCCCTGCTCCGGGGCTGATGGGGGCAGTGGGATCTGTGGTTCCATCTTTACAGAGTCCCTGCCCTACAGTGCAAGGTCCCCGCTGGCTGTCTCCAGCCGTAGCCTGCAGGAGGACCTGGCTCACCCAGGGAGAGCTGGGGCCAGGGCTGCCTAGGACCTCGGGCCTAGTCGAGGGTTATCTGGGTGCAGCTGGGGAGCGATGGGTCACTCCTGCCCCCGGAGCAGCTCTGCCTGGCACACGGCCCTGGCACTGAGTGGGCTATGTCTGGCGTGGTCTACGATGCTCCCTGTGGAGGAGCCGAGGCTGCCCTGGGCTAGGCCCTCCCTGCTTTCGGCCAGAGACGCCCCCCGGCTCCTCCGTGCGCAGCTCTGTCTCCTGGTAGCAGGCTCGGCGCTCCATGTGCAAACAATTCACGCCATGAGCGGGCCCTGGGTTGTCATGACAACAGCATGTCCTCGCCGTTCCGGTGGGGGGATCGTCCCCAGACACTGGCCCGGCTGAGTGGGGTGAGCGCTCGCTCCCTGTTGCACAGTCAAGAGCCGGGTGCAGTGGGCCGGGGAGGGGTTTGGCACAGCCGCGCCGGGTCATGCACCAGACAGGCCATGATGGGCTGGGCCCCAGCTGGGGTTGTAGGGCGGGGGGGGGTTCAGCACAGCTCCCTGAACAGAAGTCTGGGAAAGAGGAGTGGAACTGGATGGTCTAGCATGGGGGGTGGGAGGAACCAGCTCTGGGAGGGGAGTGGGGTCTAGTGGTTAGAGTGGGGGGGGGGGCGCGGCTGGGAGCTAGGATGCCTGGGTTCCATTTCTGCCATTGACTTTGGTCTTATCACCTCTGAGCTCTGTGCCTCATTGTCCCCTGTGTGACCTGGGAGCGTGCACTCCCCTGTCCCTGGGGCTAGACTAGGGCGATGCGGAGGTTTGCAGGCTCCTTACGCTGGCATGGAGCCAATCGCTGTAGTTTCGAAGCCCTTCTTAGGTGAGCCTGTAATGGAGTGTTTTCCTCGCATCGCCATCCCCCAGAGGGGCATCCCAGGCTGGGTGCTGTCCTGTCACATCCTGCGGCCTGGGCGTCTCTGCTGAGCTCAGATCCTGCCTGGAGCACTCCAGCACTCAGGTCTGGGGGCGCTGGGCTGGAGCCATGGCTGCGTGGGGCACACGCCCGGAGGGACATTCCTTTCACCAGCCCGTTTCCCGAACTGGGTGTGTGCCCGTTAGCCACCTCCTCCATCAGGGCTGCATTCCTGGAGACGATGGGCCCTGGGGGGGCCTGGAATATGGTCTCACTGTGCTGGGGGTCAGGGGGAGGGCTGGAGTGTTTCCCCTGGGGAAGGGGTGCACCGAGAGGTTCCTTGAATGGAAAACTGGGCCCTAGGCAGTAGTTGTCTCTGGCCTCTGGGCTGCAGCACTCCAGGGTGATGGGCGGCACGGGGAAGCCTTGGCTGGCTGGCAAGGGCAGCTGCTAGGGCTCCCGCTGGGCTTTCCCCTCCCTCTGGAGTCAGAGGCCCTGCAGCCTCCGGCTGTGTCTGCTCTGGATTTCCAGCCTCCCTCCACCCACCTCGCTTGCCCTCCCCCTCCAGCTGCAATGGGTTTGGCTTTGGCTCCTGCCTCTTCCTTGGCACCAGCCGCCCGTTGGGGCCTGTGTTCCGGGAGCCAAGGGGCAGGGGCAGGAGTGGTGCAAGGGGGCTGTCAGGGTCACACAGGGAGCCAGGTGCTTCCTCTCCAAACCTGCCCCCGGGGGGGTGGGTCTGCTGCTCACAGCCGAGCCCAGCGGCTCAGAACAGATGGGCAGGGCCCTGGGCGAGCCGGGGCGCTCCTGCACTAACTGGGGCGCTGGCTTCCCACAGCCCCCATATGCTCCCAGCTTGGTGGTGTTTCCTGCTGCCTCCCAGCGAGGGATCCCCTGCTCAGCGCCCAGCTGGCCCTGCTGCGCTGGACTGCGGGGAAGGCTGGGGCATGGTTGGCCCGAGCACTGGGAGCCGGCCTCTGGTGGGGCTGTGCCGGGGGGGGGGGCCTTGGCACCATCTGCAGGGGGCCTGCTCCCTGGGCCCAGGATCCCGGGGGGAGGGGAAGTGCTGCCCTGAGCACCCTGGCCCTTGCCTGGTCGTGGGGGGCCCCCGTTCGCGGCGCAGCGTCCTGGCTAATCCCCCAGCCCAGCGCGCTGCTCCAGATGCCTGGTGTGCAGCTGCATGGACATAATGGGCAGCTCAGCCCCTCCCCGCAGGCAATAAAATGTGGGACGGCTCCGAAATCGGCTGCAGCTCCTCCAGCAGGGCCTGGCGCCCCGAGCCGGTAAGGACTCCCCCTCCCTCCCCCATGCCCGCGCCTCACTGCCTCCCCCCGTGTCTGTGTGCGCCGAGGAGCCACGTGGGCGCTCAATGCCTCCAGCTAATGGGGCCTTTGGGTGCCTGCAGCGTTGGGCTGGCTTAGGCGCCCAGGTCACCTTTGGGGTGCTGCTCGAGCCCCCACGCTGTGCAGAATCCCTCCCGCTCCCCAGCCGCCGCTGCGCAAAGGACACCGACCAGCCCCTGCCTGCAGGCTCTGCTCCTGCCCGCCCCAGGAGACTAGCCCAGGCAGTGGTCTGAGCACAAAGCAGGGAGCTGCTGGGTTCCAGTCCTGGCTCTACGATCGAGGGCTAGGCACTTCCCCCTTCTGTGCCTCAGTTTCCCCATCGTTGGCCCAGGGCTCGGGGAGGGCCCTGGGCAGTTGTAAAGCGCTGTGTGAGGGTTAGTTAATGGCCCTCTTGGAGTGGGTCCCGGGATAGTGCGGGTTACACGCCTCTCTGGGGCAGTGTTTCCCTGGCACGACCTATAGGGAGGGGCCTGGACCCAGAGCCCTGGGCAGTGTAGTGGGGAAAGGATTCCCTGTGGGTGTCTGGGAACGGGCGGGGCGGGGCTCGCGCCTGGCAGGAAGAGCTGGGCTGACAGTCACGGGATGGGGCTGGTGGAGATTAGTCCCAGGGTCTGTGCGCTGCCTTAGCTTGTTCCCGGGGGCTGGGGGGTTGTGGGGCTGCAGGCAAGCGCTGCCCTCTCCCGGAGCACCCCACTACAGAGGGCAGTGGGCTGGGTTCGGGGAGCCAGCATCCCAGCTGAGAGGGGTGGGCAGCAGCCGTGCCAACTACAGCCCTGCGTGGCAGCTCTCAGCCCCAGGCTGGGCCATGACCTGCGGTGGCGGTGGGGTGTGTGGACTCATGTGAAAACCCCAGAGATTTCCCACAACCACCGCCCCCCCCCCGACCCTCCGGGGGCGGGCGGCTGCCCATGAGCTGGTGCCTGGAGTGGCCTGGCGCGTACCCGCGAATCGCTCTGGCTTGGCAGGGGCACGGCTGTAGCGAGGCTCCGCTGAGCCGGGCCGGCCACCTGCCTCCCGTGAGGAGCAATCACAGGAACCCGGAGGGCAGCGGCCTGATTTCGTCCTACAACGAAAATCACGGTGCCTGGCCCCCGCCGGGGGGGGGGGGGATATATTAAATCACTGCCATCAGGCAGCCCCCACCAGGCCCCGACCTTGGGCGGATCTGCTCCTCAGAGCCAGCCATGGCCCTCCCCAGCCAGCGGCTGAGGGGCTGGAGCAGGGACAGCGGGGTGGGGGTGCCTGGGCAGCCCCATTTCAAGCCCCCCCCCCTCCCCCCGGTCTCCTAGGTGCAGTGAGCACGTTGCCCTTCGGCCTGGCGAGAGCCCCCGTGTGCCACGATGGAGACACGCAAGCGGGAGATGGAGCTGCTGAGCAACAGCATGGCCGCCTACGCCCACATCCGAGGTGGGTGTCTGGGGGGGGGGGGGATGACCGGGGGGCTGTGCTGCCCACTTGGGCACTGGATGCTCCTGGGGCAGATGGGAGGGGGAGCAGGGCAGGTGTTTAGTGCCCCCCCCCCACCCCATTTGGGCAGCTGCACAGGGCCATGGGAACTCAGGGCTTGGCAGGCACCAACCTCCCAGGGAGAGCCCACTGGCTGGCTGCCCCCGGGCTGGGCATGGGTGCCAGGCGTGTCGTACCCAGCATGACAGGTCCCTGCGCTCAAGCCCCTCCCCTTTGTTTCCATGCCAGACAATCCTGAGAGTTTTGGCCTCTATTTTGTCCTGGGCGTCTGCTTCGGCCTGGTGTTAACCCTCTGCTTGCTGGTGATCCGCATCTCCTGCCAGCCGCACACCCGCCGCCTCCCTGCCAAGCCCCGGCGGAGCCTCCGGGACGTCAGCGAGGAAGACGAGGAGGAGGAGGAGGAGGAGGAGGAGGAGACGGTTGACAACGTGGCGGCGGAGTCCCCGCTGCCCATCACCGAGATCCCCCTGGAGAACCACAGCCCGGCAGATGGCACCTTGCCTGTCAACGTCTTTGCCTCGGCAGAGGAGCTAGAGCGGGCGCAATGGCTGGAGGAGCGGGAGCGCATCATCCGGGAGATCTGGCGCAACGGCCAGCCGGACATCCTGGGCACGGGCACCGTGGGCAGAGTACACTACTACTGACTGCGGGCACGGGGCCAGGCTGCCCAGCTCCCGGAGCGAGCCTGTGAGGGCAGCCCCCCCCAGCCCCGAGGGTCCCCCCGTGCACGCGCTGCTCTTGGGCACCCTTGTTTCCGGGAGTGCCTGTGAGTCTGGAGATGTGCCACAGCCCTTTGCATAGCCCCTGGGCACTGGTCTGTGTGCGAGCTGGGCGGGGCTCGGCCCCCCCTGAAACGCCCCGTTAGCTGGTGCCAGCCATGCATGGCATTTCTTACTGGCTGAGTGAGGGGCGCCAAGCTCTGCCGAGCAACAAGCTCCTTGAGGAGCTGCTCCCGTTAACTGGCTGCTCAGGACCCCGCGAACGGCGCAGGAGGGGTCGCTCTCATCGCTGACGACGGGGATCCCCCCGCTTCCTGCAGGAGCTCCCTGCCCCCACCTGATCAGGGACACCGCGCATGCCCTGCCAGACTGGCTTCCCACCCTCAGCAAACCGAGTGCATGGGACGGCAGCAAGGCGAGCGCTGACTGCCCGACAAGTCCAGGCCCTGGAAAGGCTCCTCCTGCCGGGGCATGGATGGACTGAGGCTTAGCCAAACCTGGCCACCCCCATGGACGGACACTCCCAGAGCTGGCCACCGTGGGTGGAGGCTTTGCCCCTTCCTCTGAAACACCTGGTACTGGCTGGTGTTGGAGGGACAATGCCAGGCTAGGGCCCCCCCCTCCCCAGTCCAGCCCCCCATGTAGTGCAGAGTGCTAGGTAAGGGAGAGCTTAAAGGCGAGGGGCAGCGCGATCGTTATTGGTCTGTTAGCAGTAGTTCCTGGGGTGCACGTCACTGAGTGTGGGGAGTCAGGGCCCTGCACCCCCAACTTCCTGCAATTCACTGGGACTCTCAGCCAGCCAGTAAAACAGAAGGTTTATTAGACGACAGGAACACAGTCTAAAACAGAGCTTGTAGGTACAGAAAACAGGAACACCCCCCCTTGCCCCTCCCCAGCCAGCTCCAAACTGAAACCCCCTCCAGCTGTCTCACCCAGCCACACACCCTGGCTCCTCCGCCAGCCTTTGTCCAGTTGCCCGGGCAGAAGGTGTCACCTGGCCCCGACCCCCTCCTGGGCTCAGATTATGGGGGGCTGCTGCCATCCTTTATGTGCTGAGTGTCCAGTATCAACCCTCAGTGAAGTCACACCCTTATTTCCCATCCCCATCTAGCATCATTGCAGACAGTAAACTAGTAAAACTCGCATGCAACATTACCAGGTTAATACGCCCTGCTCCGTCACAGCTCGGTTCAGCTGCCCAGCCCTGCCCATGGCTCAGGAGGCAGGCACGGGGACGGGCTGCCCATTTGCTGTGCCGTGACCAGGTTTGCCTTCCTGTGCCACAGGGTGGCGCTGCAGGGGGCCCAGGGCAGCATGGTCCTGTGTAGCCACGCACGATGGGGTCTGTGCCCATGGGGCGCTCCCAGCCCTTGCAGGAGAAGGGAACCCTGCTGACCCCAGGGGCATGCGGCTGTGATGTGACTGGACCCCTTTCCTGGCACTTTCCTGACAGTGCCTGGCCCAGCAGTCTAGCCCCTCGCCAGCCCCTCAGGCAGACAAGCCCCAGAGCTCATGGTGCTGAGCCGCCCAGGGCACGAGCAGCTCCTCTTGGCCACTGGCTCAGCATGGCCTCCTGAGGGTGGCTGGGGATGTGAAAGGAGCCAGGGGCCCAGCAGCTGCAGGGAGGGGGGTGATGAGCTGGTGCCGGTGACTGTGTCTAGCTCTGGTGCATAGGAAGGGAGGGGCAGGGGCTTGGGCCCGTGACTCTTACACTCTGGGTACCCTGTCTGTGCCAGGCCCTGGGGATGCAGCTGACGGCTGGGCTTTCCTGGGGGCTGCTGGAGGCAGAGGAAGCTGCCGTGTGTCTCTGTCACAGGACGAGTTTCCCATGCCCCAGCGGCTCTTAGACCAACTCCAGCTGGGCCATCGCAGCCCCGCCAAGCCCCCGCCTCCCCACATCTGCCTGCAGAGAGACACGCAGCCCTCCTCCCACTCCCAGCTTCACCCCTAGGGCAGCAGGGAGCCTCGCCATGGGCTGTGCCTTCCCCCCCACCCCCAGCCAGCAGTGGCTGGGAGGGGCAAGGGCCAGGGCACGTTGTTTCTCTTGGACACTAGGGTGGCACCATGCGGCGTAGGGACATTGCTGCACCTTGAGCAGTTGGTACGATTCCTTCCGCCCACCCCGTAGCCACTCCCTGGGGAGCTCCTGGAAGGGAAGTCGTACTCGTGCTGCCCCCCCCCCCCACTCCAGCTTGCAGCCTGGCACCCAATCAGCCCCGTGGGAGCTCACTAGGGTGGGTGAGGTCAGTCACTGGTGCTTCCCTGGGCAGCAGGGGCGCAGCTCCCTGGTGGGACTGTGAGGCCCACGCTGCCATTCCAGCCAGCTTGGTGGGTGCCTGGCCAGCCTGCCCTCTGTCCCCAGAGCATGGGGCACATGGGGGGTTAGACCAAGCCGGCCCTGTCCCTTGGGGGTTTGCAAAGAACGTTAATTGCGGCAACATGGTGAGGGCGTTCGGCCATCTCTGCCCGGGCCAGGGGCACTGGGGTGTGCGCCCAGGAGCAAGGGGCAGCCCCAAAGCAGGGTTTTCTGCATGCAGTGCCTGGCTCTGGCCAAACGAGGGTCTCGCCGGCATGGGGCCCGTCTCTAGAGTGGCCCTAGGGCAGTGCAATGTAGGCAGAGCTCGCTGTTACCAGGTCAGAGCCCTCTGGCCCTGGAACGTGCTTTTATAAACAGCATGGAACCATTCCCGAGGCAGCAGCATGGTCTCTCGCAGCCCCCCCAGGGCTCGCCCCCCGGCTGCTCTCCCCGGGGCAGCAGCCCAGGCCGGAGCTCAGCTCTGCCTGCTGGGAGCAGGCCAGGAGAGTGCAGGGAGCCCTGCGCTCCGGAGACAGGTTCCAGCCCCTGCGGCCTCCCCACAGCTCTGCTGCCCCACCCAGGCTTCACCCAGCGCCGAATCACTGCAGGGCAGCCCCCAGGGGCTGGCAGAGGGAGGCCTGGTGGAGGACATGCAGCACGCTGGAGACCTGGGTGACGGTGAGGTGGACCCCAGCATGGCCCTGCCTGCAACAGCAGCAGGGCCTCCAGCCCTGTCCCTGCTGTGCAGCTTGGGTCCACATCCCCCCTCTCTGCGCCTCAGTTTCCCTGGCTGCAGCCTGGGGGTGAGAATCTCTTTCAGCGGCCGCCAGGCAGTAGGTGCAAGGAGTGGTGATGGTCCAGGCATTAGAGCCTGTGCCCTTGGGGGGGGGGGGGGGAAGATGCCCCAGGGCACCTCGGAGCCCCAGCCCAGCAGAACCGGGCTATGGAGCTGCTCCTGCCCCCATCACCTTGCTCCTGAGCCCGAACCTCCCCCACCCGTGGGGGAACGGCTGTCTGGAGAAACCTTCCCAGGCTCCTTCCCCTCCCCTGGCCCCAGCATTCCTGCTAAAATTAGCTGCTGTCCCTTTCCGGCAACATCTGACCTGCCCCATCAGTCACTCGCTGCTTCCTGCATAGGGGCGGTGCGCGCACGCTACCCGCGGTTCTGGGCTGGCTGCCAGCCGGGTAGGCCAGCCTGCTGTGGTTAGTCCAGCCAGCCACAAGCCAGGGCCATGGGGTGGCTCCCAGCCCGCTGGGGTTTGGGCTGCTTTCAAAGTCCATGGCAAGTTACACCCCCCTCCCCAGCCTCGTGACCCAGGGGCTGCCCTTCGCTCTGCACCCCAGCCAGCTCTGCTGTTCGTTCAGTGCCTTGGGTAAACACCCCAGGGCATGTGGGGATGTGCTCGCTGGAGCTGGCAAGGTGCCCCCCTGGGCTGCCGCCCCCCCTTAGCCAGTACAAAGGAGCCCCCCCCATGGCTCTCACTTCCAGCAGCTGGCACTGATCCTGCGGCAGCCTAGAGCCACCTGCCTATGATGGTGCAGTGCCACATGGCACCAAGGGGCTGACCACTCAGCCTGCTGCATGGGAACAGCTGGCTGCCGGGCAGTGAGGGGCTAGGTCCCAGCCCAGCCCTAAGCGGGCCGAACAGCAGGAGCTGTGCTGAGCCCGGACAAGCCCAGAGCTGCCCCTACCAGGCCACAGCCTCGCTGCACGCTCCTGGGGCAGCCCTCAAGCAACATTTCGGCAGCAGCCCCCCGCCTTTGTGTGCGTGGGAGAAGAGCGAAACCTTCCCCTGCCTGAGGACACAGCCCCCGCTCCGCGCCAGCCCAATGTACAAAAATAGCTCATTCCCACCAGGGCCCCCCCGCCGCCAGCTGTAACAGGACCCAGATGTTTTCCAGATGTGCCCTGCTGGCCCCAGGGCGAGCAAGCTGCCAAGAATGCAGAGAAGCTTGTGTCAACCTGCACCGAGCTGATAAACAAGGGCAGGGGGCTGGGTGCCAGGTGGGCCCCCCCCAGGGGTGAGGTCTCAGGGGGGGCAGGGGTACCAGGCTGACAGCAAGGAGGAGATGGGCTCTGCCAAGCCAGGACCCAGGAAGCAGCTTCCTGGGGAGGCTGCCCTAGAAAGGAGGGGGGTGGAAGGGATGCCTGGAGCCTTTGTGGCAGATCCAGAGGAACAGATGTGACTGCCCAGCCAGGAGGGGCTGGCAGGAGCCGGGAAAGCACTAGGACACAGACTGCTCTTTAACCAGGCAAAGAAAACCCAAACTGGCCTCGCCTGGGTATTTCTCACCACCCCGCCCCGGACTGAGAAATACACGGCCTGGAGCTAACCTGATGAGCTGGCCGGCAGCGAGCTCCTGGCTTTCAGGCTGACCTTTCCCCAGCACTTTGCCTGTGGCTGGACTGTTCCAACTCAGCAGGTCAGGGACCGTCTCTCCCCTCAAGTTTGTACAGCGCCTTGCACGTCACAGATGCTGTCAACACTACAGCAGCCAGGCAGCAGCTAAGATTTGTATAAAAATAGTTTATTAAAATTTTACACGTATTTATAAAATAGTTTTTAAAACTTCAGGCTGTCGGCCAGCGGCTCCTGGGGGCAAGGGACATTCACAGTTGTTCCAGACCCACCCCCATGTCAGACAAGCATAGCGGGAACGAAACCACTGCAGAGAGCAGCTCCCAGAGCGAGGGAGAAACTCCCAGTTCTCAGGATTAAGAGGGCCTGGGAAGAGCCAGAGGCATCGGACAGGGCTGCTGATGGGAAGGAGGCTGGCATATATCAAGGGCCACTCCACAGACACCTATGCTCGGTCACATTTGACCATGTGCTCACTAACATGACTAGATTCTAATGCAGACAGGACACAAGTGTTGGGTAACCCTAGGGGTCCAGCCTGCATGAGTTATCACAGGTTAACCAGGATGAGGATTCCCGCCCCCACATCTGGCCCAGGGACGGCTTAGCCAACACATCTGAGCTCCCTAGTGTGGACAGGGCAGGATGCAACATGTTAGCTGGGAGCCCACTCCACAGGGCCAGCTGACCAGGACAATGCAGATGGCTGTCTGCACTAGGGTGAAGTGGTTCCAAACCCTCTTATCCTGGTCTAGTCAGACCCCAGGGTCAGGTGACCCCAGGGCTGACACGCAGCAGACAGGGCTGGGGGCAGTCAGCACAGGGCTTTTTCTCTGGGCGGGGTCAGCATCAGCAGCCCCCAGGGGGTTGTAGGGCTAGGGTCACAGGTGGGCTTTGAGAGTTGTGCTGGGCTAAGAGATGGCTATTCTCCCCACACACACAGAGGGGCTGGGAACAACATGTGGATGAGCACGGCCCAAGGCTGGGACAGGTCAGGGGGGAAGAGGGGAGCCAGGGGCTCAAGACCTGTCTCCAGAGAGGGACGGATGCTGCTTGGACATGGGGCGGCCTCTCCTGGGGCAGGGGGATGGAGGGGCCTCCTTTGGCCCATATGCAGGAAATTCAGAGCTGAGCAGGTGATGGGGCCTGAGGGGTGATGACTGCCCAGCGCTGGCAAAATCCAGGCAATGGCCAGGCCTCTGCACTGCTAGCATGAACACCCTGGTCCCGCTAGGGCATCGCTAACTCCCTTGGCGGCCCCGACTGTTTCCCAGCAGGGAGGTGCCCCGTGCTGCCCATCACAAAGCCAGCATCCCCCAGAGGGTCAGCCCAGCGGGACCCGGAGCGGACAAAAGGCTGCACCCCACCACAGTGCTCATGGGGCTGCATGGCCCAGAGCTCCTCATCGTGCTTCCCCTGAGGGCCCAGTGAGCAGACGCAGCAGGAGATGAGCTGGAGGGGCTCTGGGCCTTCTCCCCACTACCCGGGGCAGGGATCCGGCCTCGGGGTAAACGTACACCAAGGGGAATTAATAGCCAGTGATTCTCTTGCAAGTTTAACGGCCCCAGCAGAGTTTGCAGAGCGGGCCTCTTCACAGTGGACGTCACAGTGTGGCCGGCAGCTCCTCCAATTCACTGCCCAGCATAGCTGCTCCTGCTCCCGCCATGTCTGCTCCATCGAGGGCAGGCATCTGCTTCATGCTCTCGATTTCCACCTGCAAAGGAGAGACGAGTGGGAGCGAAGGGAACCAGGGCAAACCCCAGCCCCGCTCCCTGTGCTGCCCAAACAGGGCGCCTCAGGTTGCCGCTCAGAACGGGCATCCCCGAGCACTTGGTGGAGAGCAGCAAGGCACCCAGGTCACCAATGGGAAAAGCAGGGTCACCGCAACCATCACTCTTCAGCCAGTGCCCATCTGCGGGGCATCTGGGCACCACACACAATGAAGACGCAGTTGCCCTGCTGCCCCCATCCACAGGCTCAGCTGTTAATCCTCCTACATCCAACTCCAAGCACCAGCTCCCACTCTGACCCACGCCCCTCCTCACGGATGGAGGCGAGTGGGATTTCACTGATGGACACGCTGCTATCGCAGAACTCCCTGCAGCAGCATGATGCAGGTTGGTTCTGGGGGGTCAGCACCCCAGTGACAAGCCTTGGGTTTGTGGGATCCCAGTGAGGGAGGGGCTGGGGCAACTCCCACCCCTGAATTTCCCATGCAGCACCGCGTCCCCAGCAGCTCTCACCTGCAGCACCATGCGCTTGGCCCGCTCCTCCTGCATTTCCATCTTGAGCTCCTCCATGTCCTTCCTGCAAAGGGTAGTTCACACAGCTGGCAGGGGCTGGCTCTCTGGGGGCCCAGGGCCGGGGACTCAGGGCCAGACCCTCAGCCAGCTCCAAGAAGTCACCCCAGGCACATGGGACCCAGGAGCACCCAGCTCTGCAGCCCACTGCTTCTCATGGGCCTGAGTTGCAGAGCCTGCCGGAGGCCAGAGTCCAGGGCCTGGGCTGGGCCCAGGAGAAGCAGGGCCTCCCATGAAGGTCAGTTCCAAACCTATCTCCCCAAGGCCAGGGGATGGTTCCCAGGGGTCACCTGATTCTGTACAAACAGGGCAGGACACTGGGACCTCATTCCCCTTCCGGCCACGGCGCCCTGAGCCGATTCACTGCTCTACCGGGTCACATGGACACGACCGGCCCGTGCTGTTCTGATACGCCGGCCACAGGGTTCTCAGCCACGGCTGGCACCAGGCCTGCCCTGGCCGGTGTTCACCGGCCCCGAGTGCAACACTGCCCACCAGGGTAGACGTGCACACAGGCTGGCAGGCCAGGCCAGGGCCGAGGCTGCTGTAGGCAGTTGCCACCAGCCCAGGAGAGAGGCAGCTCCAAGCACAGCTAGGAAGCAAAGTCTCGTGCTGTCCCCTGGGGATGGGGAACGCTGCATGCAGCTGGCAAACTCGGGGCACTCCAGCTGGCCATCTCAGCCACTGGGGTCAGCACCTGCCAGGGCTCCAACAGCTCCCACCTCCCCCCCACTCAGCCCCACTCACTGGTGCTGCACCCTCATCAGGTCCATCAGGATCTGCAGGGACCGGAGCTCGGCCATCAGCACCTCCAGGGACAGCTTCTCCTGTGCCTTGGGAGGGTCCCCCGGGCTCTCTGGGGGCTGCAGCTCCCTGGCCTGGACGCTGCTCTTGGCTGGGACCAGGGGTGCCTTCTGCAGGAGCAGAACCGATGGGAAACAATCCCAGCAGGGGCAGGGAAAGCCAGTCACCCTTTGCAACTGGGCACCCCCACCTATCAGTCCCAGAGCTACGGGCACCGGGCAGGCGTTGCCCTCGGAAGAGCTCCTCAGGGAACGCAGCAGGTCTCCAGCACCCACCTCCCCACTGGTGCTACCTGGCCTCCTCAGCTGACAGGCCAAGGACAGAATGGGTCCTGCCAGCGAAGCTCCCCCTTGGGTGCTCCTTGCAGGGCAAAGCCATGGCCCTGGGGCCACCCATGCTGCACCTTCTCCCCAGCTCTGAGCACCCGGCCCACATGCCGGGATCCCCAGACGGGAGGGGAGGGGAGGGGCCAGCATGGGGTCAGAAAGGTGGTTCGGGTGCAGCTCCCCCTACCCTGAGCGCAGCCCCAGCCCCAGGAAGTGGCCCTGGCCCTACCTGCCCCACACACGTGCTCCCCTCCCTGCCGTGAGCCTGGCAGCGAGGCGGCACCCTGCTCTTCAGCGTCTCCTCCTCCACCACCCTCACCAGCACCCATGTGACTTGTTAACCCAGCTCCTCCTACGGGACCTCCAGAGAGCTCCGGTGCTGCCGACCCATCCTACGGGGCTCCTGGGGCAGGGCCTGGGACCCGCCAGGAGACTGACTCCTGCTGCCCACTGCGCCCCTCTGCCTGCGTGTGGGGCGGGGGTTTTGCTGCTCTATCTGTGCACGGGGTTGGGTCTACACCCTGTGGCAGAGGGCGGGACTCGCTCGCTTCAACAGACCCTGCTCCCGTGGGCCAAGCCTGGCACTGACCCATTATTTCAGGTCCAAACTATCCAGCCAGCACCTTTAAAACCAGCCGGTGCCAAGGCCAGAGTCTCCGCCCCGGTGCTGAGCACACGCCAGGCCCTGCCGGCTCACAAGGAGCACTGGGTGGAGGTGGGACGTTCCTCCCCAGCACTGGGACGCTGCGTTTCGGGGCGGGGGGCGGGAGCAGAGTGGTGAGGGCCGCTCACTCTCCGGACAAGGCAATTGCAGCAGAGAAGCTGTGGGCAGCAAATGCGGCCCACAGAGCTGTGCCCACCCAGCCCAGCGAGTCCCACCCCTTCCACTCCTTCCCCACCGACCCCCAGCGAGGGGCACTGCCCAGGCACTCACCGGAGAGCTAGCAGGCGGCTGGCTGGGCGGCTTCCTGCCTGGCATTTTGGGACGGGTCGTGGTCGGGTGGCTCAGTTTGGCATTGGAGACCAGGATGGCATCAAAGCAATTCGCATCTGCAAAATCAAGAGGCATCAGCAGCCCCCTGCCCATCAGCAAATGCAGCTGGAGCCAGACTCCAGAGAGGCCCCAGGCGCAAGGACTCCACCGGTTCCAAGCGGTGCTGTCAGGCTGAAGAGCTCTGCACCCAGACCGATACCCAGCCAGCGGGGCATCCACACAGCTCAGCACCCACCCGAGGCACCGAGCTCTTTGGAACACCTGGGCCTTGGGCCGGACACAGCATGGGGCTGTATGGCGACTGAGCTGCTCCCTGCCCTCCCAAGGCAGGTCCCCCTTTCTGCTCCTGAAGGGAGGGAGAGATTTGGACAGCTGCAGCAGGGGACCAGTCGGCAGGACTCCTGGGTTCTGCACCGAGTGGATTAGTTGGGCGAGCTGGCACCGGGAGGCCTGTGACATCGTGTGGGCTCCTCACACACAAACCCCAGCAGTTTCCTCACTTTCCTAGCTCAGGAGCATCCCAGGCTAGAGTGCGCCTGCCGGGGGTGCTCAGAACCAGGGCAGGGCAGAGTCTGGAGGTGCCAGCCCTGCCCCAATGCCCTCAGTCCTGCATGTGGCAGAAGACTCCATCTTGCAGGCCTGGCTCCAGTCACAGCGACTGATGGGCAGCTCCCCCTTGGCCCAGGGCTCCGCAGCTGGACACCGGAGGGAGCGATGCTACTAGCCCACCCCGTGAAGGGGGGGGATCGGAACGTGCCAGGTGGCAACAGGCTTACCTGGGTCCTTGGGCTTGCTCTTCTCCCCACTGGCTGGGGCACAGTTCATCGGGGTACCGGGGGGCCTAGCAAAGGCAGAGACATTCCTGCACATTAGGGGGCTAGCAGCCCGCAGAGCCCCGGCCCCCTTGTGCCTCTTTCCCGCCTCCCCTTCGGCTAGGTGCTGTGTCCATCCCACTCCAGTCAGTCCCTGCCCACCTGGGGGGCCAGGCAGGAGCCTAACTCAGTTGCTCTGCCCCTTGCAGAAGTTTAACAGCCACCTGCAAAGCTGGTGATGGCATTATCGGAGCTAGAGGCAGGGGGCTGAGCCCAGGTGGGCAGGGAGGGAAGCGTCTGCCCTGAATACCAAGATCAACCCCTGGAAGGTTTGCGAGAAGAGGCCCCCACCTGACACAGCGCTACTTCCCCACCCCCTGCCAGCCTGCAACAATGGGCAGCTCATGCCTAGACCTCCCCCACCAGCTAGAGCCTGCCCTCTGCACAAGGGAAGGGGGCATGGGCCCCTCACCTGCCCATGAGGTTGGAAGCCAGTTTGGTCTTGGCAGGCACGGGAGGGGCGGGAGCCGCTTTCTTGCTGGCAGGGAGGTTCATCTTGGGCAGATCCATCTTCTTCTGCACCTTGGGCACTGGGGGCAGAGGGACGGGTGAGCAGCAGGAGCCGGGCTGTTCCCCAGAAGTTACTGCTCCCAGCCCATGACTGGCCAGTGGCTGCAACCTGGGTCCCAGGACAGTTCCCAGCCAGCAGACAAGGGCCCACAGCCCGGGCCCCATCATGGCCGGGTCCCCCTCAGAGGCACGTTCTTGGCCGAGGGCCAGGGGCGTTGGACCCCGGGGCCATGGACGTGCTGGTGTTATGCTGGTCTTTGGACGCTAGCCCTGGCCTGTGCCAGCCGCTACGGAGCGTGGCAGCCTGGGGGCCCGGCTGGGAGATCGGCAGCCTGCTGCGGCGACTCCCCTGCACGCACCAGGGAGCTGCACATGGCAGGAAATGCCTGCTGCACTCTCGCCTCTTCCCCAGCTGCCTTGGAGCCTGGCTGGCCTCAGGGGCCGGAGTCGCCCAGGGCCAGGCCAGGGCACAGACCGAAGCAGGAGGGGGCAGGCGGGCTACAGCCTAATGTGGGAAGCAGATGGCTGCAAGCTGCTGCCCTGACAGTGCCCTTCCCCTCAGCTCCCCACCTGACCAGGGGATCCTGAGCTGCCTCCCTGGGGCGAGGGGAGGGAAAGCTGCGGCCTGTCGCCCACGGGGAAGGGGGACTAGCCCCGCACACCCCACCTCTACCAGCCGGCTCCGTTTTATCCAGCTGGGTCCCACGGCATGTGCCCTCACGGGGGAGCAGCCCAGCAGTGCAGGGGAGTAACTCACAGGCACTTGCCACACCCCCCGCTACCAGGGTGGAGACTTGGCACTTCCCCCAGTGCCCATGGCCAGCCTGGCCCATTTACCTTTGGGCTCTCGGGGGGGGCGCAGCTCCGCTTTGCTGGCGCTGGACACTTTCTTCTCCGGCCTGAAGACTGGCACAGAGGAGCGAGAGGAAAAGTGACGTGCTGGTCGACTTGGTGGTGGCGGGGGGGGAGCGTGCTCCCCCCTGGCACCGTCCCTGCTCCCTCAGCCCCATCTGCCCCAGGACCTTCTTTTTGTTTTTATTTTGGGGGTGGGGTGGGGGGAGGAGGAGGCTGGGCTTGGAACCCCCCCTGGCCTGAGTGGCCGCCAGGGCCCTGTGAGGGCAGCCAGCCCTGCTCCCTCCCGCGCTGGGACCGGCTCCATCCACCCGGGAGTCTCGCCTCCCCTCAGAGGCCAGGGCTGGGGCGACACCGGGCCACCTCCACCCGTTCACCTGGGTCGGGTGCACTCCGCAGTCACCCCGGGGTGACTGCGGAGTCTTGCGGACACTGGAGAGACTCCCCGGGGCTGCCCAGGGGAGAGGAGAACCCGGCCCTGCCCAGGGGGGACACTCAGGCCCCACTCCTGGCCCCTGCTCCCCTGCCTGCGGGGTTCTCTGCCCCGGCACACACAGCTCTGCCCTGTCCGCTCCAGGACAGGGGCAGAGATGGCATCTCGAGCTCGCCCCAGGCCTGTGGGCCCGGCGAGGGGAGCAGAGGTGCTCGCTCAGGGGTGTCAGAAGCTCCTGGAAGGCGAGCGAGCCAGAGGCCTGGGGCTGACACCCACGCAGCCCAGCCTGGTGCATCCGGGGAGCGACAGCGGCACCCAGCACCTGTGTGCGTGCAACGGGAGGGGGGGCAGGATGTGAACAGTCACAGGGACCTGAGCTCCCCCAGGCACAGAGCTTAGAGCAGGGCTTTGGGCTAGCTTGGACTTTGCCTGCACTGCCAGCATCACTGCCCCTGTGCCAAGGGGCACCAGGAGGGGGAGCTTGGCACTGTCCCTGGTGGTGCTCACAGCAGCTGGGATCTCAGAGCCCAGGGTGCCCCCAAAATACACCCAGAGTCTGACCCCCCCCCCGGTGGGATGAGCTCAGAGCTGGCCCATCCCCCAGACAGCTCCAAGCAGCTCCCCACAGCAGCTACAAAGCCGGCTCCGCTCGTTGTCACATGTGGCCACGGTCCCAGGCAGCGGCGGTGTCCGCAGTCTGCACTTCCTCTGCCGGCTGCTGCATCAGCACACTCCCCATGCCCCCACCCCCAACACTGCCCCCGTCCCACGCAGAGATGGGCCCCCCACTGCAGGGCAGGCTGCCCTCCGGCCGACAGCCCCAGCCGCCTCCCTCCCCTACCTGTCACCGCATCCACGCGCAGGGCCCAGCTGGGAAACCAGCCCCAGCCCCCCCCCCCCCCCCGAGCTCTGGGGCGGCTGGGCCCTGGGGACAGGCTACACCACATAACAGCAGGGCAGCTCCACCCCACCACAGCCCCACTAGCTCTCACCCCAGCAGCTCTGACCCCAGCTCTGAGCAGGCAGTTGGGCTCCCAGCCAGCCCTGCCTCTGCTAAACCAAGCCCTGACCCCTGAGGGTTCACACAAACCAGAGCCACCCACTCACTGATTTCGTCCCTTTGCCAAGCCCCGAGGCTGGGGCGCCCAGGCCCCGTGCAGGAGCTTGTGCCAAAAGGGCAAGAGGGGAGGGGTGCGAGCCCCTCCTGGCAGAGCCAAGGGGAGAGCCCTGGTGATGGAAGATCTGCCCATCCTGGGGCCAGAACGATCCCAGGTGGCAGTGGGTTCAGTCTGCCACTTCCCAACGGATGCCAGCTGGCTGGACCCCTGCACCCCCCAGCAATAACCAGCCACCAGGGGACACTGAGTGGGGCTGAGGGATGGGCTGGATTGGGGGGGCGGGGGTGCCACCCTCCCTCAGCCCCTTGCCAAGCCGAAAGACGACAACACTTCAGGAGCCTGCAAAGCCCCTGGCCCAGCAAGAACCTCCATGCTGCAGACTGCCAGGGCTGCTGAATCCAGCCCCGACCCTCCCCAACCCCAGGGTGCAGCTGCTGTGTTCCCCACCCCAGAAAGGCTCCTGTACGCCCAGCCCGTTGGGATCCTCCAGGGTGCTAGAGCGGGAGGGCAAAGATTGGCACAGCGAGCGGTCGCTCATAGGAGGGACCGCTCCCCTCCATACCACTCTGCACCATGCACATGCCACAGACAGCACAGAGAGCAAAGGGGAGGCAGGTACCTGCCACCACAGCCACGCACGGGGCCTTCACAAGTGTTTGCAGGGGGACGGTCCTGGGCCCAGGCTCTGGACTCCAGCCGTCGGCTGCACTCACCAGCCGTCAGTAGGGACCTGCCTGCAGCTCCCCAGAGCTCTGCTCCGAGCCAGCCTTCCCCAGACTGCTGCTCAGCCCCTGTACCCAGGGCACGTGACACAGAGGAAACCAGCACCTTGCTGGAAAGGAAGTCACAGATGCAGAGCACCCAGGGCTTTGCCCAGCTCTGCAGGTCAGGAGCCTGCACCATCACCTCATCCCCCGCTCGCTGCCTGGCAGCGCTACCGAGAAGCCAGCTAGCCTAGCAGGGGGAGTCTTGGTGACCCCGCAGCACGGACCATGCGCAGACTGCTCTGAGCTGCACTTGGACCCACAGCTGCCCCGGTGGATGAGCCTACATCCAGCCCAGCCTCCGGGGCTGGCAGGACCCCCAACAGCTATGCTGGCTGCCTGCCTCCCCCTTGGCAACAGCCCAGGACTGGGAGCCAGGCAGCACCAGCCCACAGCCTCCATTGGGTCGGTTTCACTAGGGAGGGGCTCACAGCCAGCCCCCCCGCCCCCCCGTCAGCTCTGACCCCCCCGCCGTGGGCTCCTTCCTTACTTGACTCCTGGCTCCGCGAGGGCACCACCGCCGTAACCTGCAACAGAGCAGAGCACGATGAGCAGGAACGGGCACATCCTGCGGCGGCTCCTGGCCATTCTTCGCCCCTTGTCCAGAGCGTCTGAGCCGGGCCAGCCAGCACCGCACCGGGCAGGCAGAGGGGCCATCAGCTTCCCTGCAGCTGGGAAGGATTCTCTCCCCGCCCCACCCCAGCTCACACCCCGCCAGACGCATCCTGGGCTCTCCCCTTTCAGCAGCTCCGGGGGTGGGTGCTGGCGGAGGTGAGCCCAGGGGCTGAGCAGGAGCAGGGTACCAGGCTGGACGGGCAGAGCTGAGCTAGGGATTTATTATTCCTATTGCAAGCTTGCCATGTGGATTTCCTCGTCCAGCCACAGCGCCCGCGTGCCCAGCCAGCCCCGGCCCAAGGAAGGAGAGGGACTTCTGGCCCCTGCCCGCGGCCCTGGGGGTGCCTCTCACCAGCTGAGCAAAGGGACAGGCAGGGGCCACCCCTGGGTGTTCCCTCGGGGTCACTGCGCCACCTGCTGGGGGAACACAGAACCTGGAGTGCTGCCGTTCCCGCCCCCACTGCAATGGGGCCAGGAGCCATTTGCCCAAGTGACAGGCTGCTCCCGGCGTCAGAGCCCCTGCCCCGAGGCCGGCGCCCCCCTGCCCCAGACAGGGCTGCTCACTGGGCCCCCGAGCCCCTGCCCCAAGGCTGGCGCCCCCCTGCCCCAGGGCTGCTCACTGGGCCCCCCCATGCCAGCCCGCCCAAGGTGGGGGCACCCAGCCCCAGCACTCACTTTTGGCACCAGGGACTGCAGCAGCATCACGAAGTTATCAGGGAAGAGGCCTCTCTTGCCATCACATTCCCCTTCCCACCAGCCCTCATCCTCCGTCTCCTGCAAGGCAAGCAGGGAATGCCCAGCTCAGGCCGGGGTGCTACCCCCCGAGCCCCCCCGCACGGCCCAGCACCCCGGCCACAGGCTTGGACACCGCGGAGTACAGGGGGGTGAACACCAGGACAAAGCCCAAGGAGGTGGCACCCGGTCCAACCTGCCCTGCTCCCTCATGGCACCCAGCACTGCCAGCAGATCCCACCCGGGGCCAGACCCCTTTAGCAGGAGGGGCTCAGAGTGCCCTGGAGGTCCCTGGCATTCGGGATGCGGCCGGGAGGGGCAGTGAAAGAAAGACACTGGGGGTGCATGGTGGTGCCCACAGCTCCCTCCATGCCGGGAGGGGATCAGAGCCCTGTGTCCCATGCCTTCCTGGCACACGGGGATGGTGCACTGCCAGGGGCCCCTGCAGGGCACGAGGGCTGACAAAGGAACTTGCCCCCAGAAGCTGCAGCCCGTGGTGCTGATGGGACTGGCAGCAAGAGCATCTCAGCTGGGCTCCCAGAGCCGGGAAGCCAGCCGGAGGATTTGGAGCCCCTCTGGGAGAAGACGGGGTGTCTTGGGATCAGAGGGCAGTGGAGCTGGGGGCCGAGACCCAGAGACTCACGTCCTCCAGTGCCAGGCTCCACCATTTGGGGTTTCCCCATCTGGTTGGTGGAGCAGAGGGGCCAGAGCTGTCAGTGTCCCCTGTATCATGGCCAGAGGCCACAGTGATGGACCCATGACACAATAATGAGCTGCTCCCTGGCTGGGGGGCAGGCAGCTGCGAAAGCTGGCTTCCCCACCAGTGAGATGGGCAGATCAGCACCCCCTCCCCAGCGGGTTCACAGCTTGCCCTGGCAGCCCCCCCACCGTCCCCAGCTCCCCTTGGCTCACTCCCCATGCTCCCACCTTGCAGAGAACTAAAATGACGTCTCCTCTCTTCAGCTGCAGCTCATCCTGGAGCTCTGGCTCATAGTCGAACATGGCCTTGCAGTACTCGGCTTTGCAGGCTGGGCGGGAGGGGAGGGACTCAGAGGAAAGCCCAACACAGTCACTAATGGGGGACGCTGTGCTGCTCACAGGGAAAGGACCCCCTCTCCCAGGTGCGCTCGAGGAACCAGCCCAGTGAACCCAGCCCGTGCATTGCACTTGCAGAAGCAGGACAGGACTCAGACCCTGCTCGAGTGGGGGCGGGGAAGGGTCCATGCTCCTGTCCTGCAGATGCTGCAGGAGCCAGCAGGAGCACAGGCCTGGGGGCCTGGACTCCAATCCCAGATCCCAGCCCCACCACTGCCTAGGCCAGAGGCCCTGGGGCAAGCGGCTTCCCTGGGCTGTGGGGACCCATCCTTCCCCAGGGCAATAGCTGGGAATCACTCCTTGAGGACTGTTGGGTTCTCCCTTCCCATCCACTACAGCCCCAGGGATGGCCCCTCCCCAGCTAGGGCCCCCACAGGGGACACGGCTACTCAGCAGAAGCAGCAGACTCCATGGGGCAGGGGAGCGCAGGCAGGCCTCACTCACATGGCTGCGGGGGCTGGTTTGGCGGGGAGCTCTGGGCTGCGGGGATGGGCTTCTCCAACTTCTTGGGGGGCTCTGGCTGCAGAGGAGACACGAGGCTCGTTAGCACTCAGGGAGTGGGTGTCTCAGGAGGGAGGGGGTGCTCAGAGCATGAGCTTCCACCCCTCCACACCCCAAGAGCACCCCAGAGTGGGGGCAGACACCTCCACTGACTCCCTTCCTAGAGCCAGATCAAGCTGGGCCCACGTGAGCCTGGGGTAGCCAGCAGTGCCAGGAAGGGCCTGGGCGAGCTCCCCTTGGTCCCAGCTCAACTGGCCACGCCTGGGTGGGGCTTTATGGCCTGGGCCCAGGAGCAGCCAGGCGGGTTCACCTGCTGGGTCAGGCCACCAGCTAGCCTGTCTCTGGGGCTGCTCTGGCGGGGGGTTGGGGGGTGGGGACAGGACAGGACATAGCATGGAAGGTGAATCCCAGGACGGTCCTTCCCCCCTGCCCTCTGCCTACAGTGCCAGGGGCCGCTCCCCCCCGCCCCCCAAACACACTCACCTGCTCTGCCTCCTTTACGATGAAGGTCTCATCAGTCAGCTTCGGCCTCTGCTTCCCAGCCCCATTCTTTGGGAGGGGCTCCGGGGCCACTAGCCCTGCACACACCATGGTTGGAGCGGGTTATCTCAGGGCACCTGGGATGGGACAGCCCCTCTGCGGGGGGCACAGATGCTGCTCTGACCCAGAGCACCAGCAACCTGCCAGCTCTCAGGGCGCGCAGACCCTGCCCGCCCCCCCCCCCACACATCCCCCCCCAGCTTGTGGGGACGCAGCACTGAGGGCGCTCACGCTTCATGCCTTGGGGTCTTCCCAGATCAGCCCCGCCACATGCCATGGGTTGCTGTAGCCTAGGGTCTCTCCTAAGGGGAGGATCAGGGCAGCGGAAGAGAAGGGAACCAGGCCCTGCTACCTCGTGTGACGAAGTGGGACTGTTCTTAATGTTTCCTCTGAATAGTGTGGGGGTGCCTCAGTTTCCCCTAGGCAGTTTTTAAGTATCTAGGGGGTGGAGTAAGGGTGTATGATCATTGCAGAGCCCTAGAGGGCATGTGTGTGCAGGAGTCTGGACACAGAGAATGGCCAACGCCCTGTTTCCTGGCAACTGATGGCCTGGGCCCTTCCCCCCTGCAAGGTGAGAGCTAAAGGGTTGGAGAACAAAGGAATCAGGTGACCACCTGGCCCGGGAAAGGAACAAAGCCCAGAGGAGGAGGGGCTGGAGGGGGTTTTCAGTTTGGGGCTGGCTGGGACATGGAGTGAAGTGCAGACGTGGTTGTCTGGCTCACTGCCCCCCAGAATGGACCCAGCTGAGGGGTCCGGTTCTCTGCACCTGCAAACTCTGTTTTAGACCATGTTCCTGTCGTCTAATAAACCTTCTGTTTTACTGGCTGGCTGAGAGTCACGTCTGACTGCGGAGTTGGGGGGCAGGACCCTCTGGCTTCCCCAGGAGCCCCGCCTGAGTGGACTCGCTGGGGGGGAAGCGCACGGAGGGGCAGAGGAGGCTGAATGCTCCGAGGTCAGGCCCAGGCAGGTGGAAGCTGTGTGAGCTGTGTGTCCTGAAGACAGGCTGCTCACAGAAAGGCGACTGCCCCAGAGTCCTGACTGGCTTCATGGGGAGCAGTTCCAGAGCATCACCCAGGGACTCCGTGACACCTCGCCCCATTGCTGCTCCCCGCTCCTTCCTACCTGGGGGCAGCCTGTCCAGCTCCTGGACGAAGTTGGAGGGGAAAGCACCAACCTGGCCATTCTTCCTGCCTAGCCACCAGCCATCTTCAATCTGCAGGGGAAGAGAAAGGCTCAGAGCTGAGCCCTGCCAGCCGCTGATCCAGTGTGCCCAGAGCATCTCCAGCAGCCAGGCTTGGAGGGTGCCACTGTACCGATCCCTGCCTTCGGGCCAGCCCCCCACTATGGCATTTCTCTTGGCTGTTGGGAGACAGCCCGGGTATCCCAGCCAAACACCAACCTCCTGAAAGCGCTCCCTGCAACAGCCATTGGATACAGAGAGCCTCCCCAGGTCCCGACCCCCAGCATTGCTGTGTGCTGTTATGCCGCGGCCAGACCCCACCCCAGACATGGCTGCTCACTAATGCCGGGCGACGCGACCCTTGTAGCTTGAACAGGAGATCCAGAGGGGCTCGAACAGGGCCAGGCTGCCCCCCTGAGGTCTCCCATCACCTGCCCAGCTCCCCACCTGCCTCTGGTCTTTCCCCACCCTGCTTGCCTATCCCATGGCCCTCCCAACTTTGGGGCACTTGCCTGCCCCTGGCTCCCTGCTGCCACACCTCTCCGGTGGAGCTGGGAAGTGGATCTTGCCCTGCCTGCTTGGCCTCGCTGCTACCCTCATGGCACGGAGGGGAGGGGGAGGCTGGAATGGGGCAGGCTTTGGCAGCACACAGGCTGGCCTTGGCCCTCTGCTGCTGGGCCGTATCTAGAGTGCCTGCAGACAGCACCACGACCCAGACACAGGCATACCGCAGGTGCCAGGGGCTGGAAACAACCCTCCAGCCACCTTCCACTGCTCCAGCCTTCCTGCCCCCCAGGAAGGAACAACGCACCTGCATCCCAGCCCCCCACCCCCAGCCATTCCCAGGCACATGGGCCTGGGTCTCCTCTCCCTGGCTCCGGCAGGTGCCCCCCAGCCCTGCTCACCTCCTGCAGGATCTGCACCAGCTCCCCGGCCTTTAGCTGCAGCTCATCCGCCTTCTCCGGGGTGTAGCTGAAGTTCGCCTTGCACCAGCGCTGCCCTGGCACCGGTGGCTTCTTCGCTGGCGTGGAAACAGCATGAGACACACGTCACTCAGAGAGGGGAGGCTGGGGGACAGGCTGCACTGTGCCTGCCGGGAAGAGCTCAGAGACTGTACCCCACCCCTTGGTCTGATGCACGAGGGGCAAGCTGGGGTCCCAGCTTCACGGCTCAGCTTATAAGGGGCCACCAGACTTCGCCTGCACTGGGATTCCCCCTCCTCTGACTGTCCTCCTGCAAACCCTGGTAACCCCAGGAATGGGGCTGACTCCCAGCAGCCTGTGAAACCACCCTTCTCCCCCAGAGGCTGCTGCCCTGCGCGCCACCGTCTCAGCTCTCGCTAAACAGTCAGGGCTTCAGCCCTTAAGGGGGCGAAGCAATGCTTGAAAACGTGAAACCTGTGGGAAGCGAGGCAGCCAGCCTGCCTGAGTCTGCAGACAGCCGGAAACGAGAACTCAGAGGTGGAGAACTGCCCTGTGCATCTAGAAGGGATGTTGACTCTGAAACCTAATGAGGGCATTTCTGGTCTCAGCCCTGATAACCATTGCACTGCTGATTAAAGCAGAGGACAAAGAAGGGTGATGGTGTGGTGCGCGGGAACCTCGTTTTGCTGCTTTGTGGGAATGGAGCTTAGGAAACGATCACCACTTCCACCTCCCACCCTAGTTCGAGCTCCCCACCCACCCTTTGGGAGCTCAAGCCCTGCTCCCTTACAGGAGAGGACTCGTCCGTAGCGCACTGCTTTGCTAGTGTAGGGCAGGCGCCTCCCAGGCCAGTCTTGCTGGAGGGAGGCCAGGCCGCGGGGGTGGGAGAAGGAGAGAGGGACTGAGAGCCAGAGAGTTGCCAGTGTCTGGCATAGCTAGGCCCAACTCGCTCTCCCTACACACTGACCCCACACCCCAGGCAGACCCCTCTCAGCTCAACACCGGCTGCGGCCTGGCCGGCAAACCCAGAGCCTTTGGGGGTAAGAGGCAGGAAGCCCATTTCCCCATCTCCCCCCAGCAGGAAACCTGGCTGCTTCCCTACTGCTGGAACCGCCCCACCCCCAGCCAACCCCCACTCCCTTCCCTCTCACAGCCTGCCCTGAACCCCCGTGGGCTCGGTCAGGCTCCAGGCTGCCCCCCATGCCGGTTCCTGGCCCAAGCAGGGGACTGAGGCCTTGGCAAGGGGTCCTATCAGGCCCTAGCACACAGCAGTGGCGGGGCAGGAAGAACGGAGCTGCACCACCCCCCAAGTCAGGAGGCAGCCACACCCCCCCCCCAGCATGGTACCCCCTAGCGGCTCCCGCTCCTGCCCCCAGCCTCAGGCAGTGGTTCAGCAAGCGGATCCTGAGCTGACGGCAGCGGGCACAGGTCCAGACCCTTACGGGGAAGGCAGCCGAGGCTGCCCACAGCTGAGGTACTAGGAGCTGTTGCTGCCAATCTGTGGTGGGCAGCACCGCAGGGAGCCCAGGCAGGGCAGGGGGCAGTGGCATGGCTCCTTCCCTCCCCAGCCCTAGTGCAGCAGAGATGCTGCTACTCCACCAGACCCATTGTGATCTGCTGGGTTCCCATTGGCTTGGAGAACAGGCCCATTGTGTACATCAGCCAATCAGAGGCCAGCGTGTCAACAACAGGTCTGCCTGGCAGGCAGTGAAAATGCCACAGCTGGGCCCTGCGCAGAGCCACGGGTTGACGAGCGAAGGGTCCTGAGCTGACAGCTGCCACCATGGCCCAGAGCCCTATGGGGACCGTATGGGGGTCCCACCCCCAGCTCTGGGGAAGGGAGTGGTCCTTGGCAGGCAGGACAGAGGGAGCAGGGGGTCTTGTCCCCCAGGCTCAGCGCACCCAGTCGTGAGGGGAGGAGAGGAGAAGGAGACACGGTCAGGGCACCTGGGTGTGCCAGCTGGGGGACCCAGATGGCCAAGGCACAGAGACTGGGGATGCAGCTCGCCTCCGGCCGGACGAGGAGCCAGTGGGTCTGGGACAGGCAGGTGATGCCGCACCAGTGAAAAGGGCAGTGCGACACCCTGGCTGCGTGCATGGGTGCTCCCCCCAACAGAAGCACCTAGGGACCCTGGAGACTCCTTGCAGAGATGGCAACAGAACCCAGGAGTCCTGGCACCCACTGCTGTGCCCAGCCCCCAGCTCTCCAGCTACCAGCCCATTTTCAGGTGCGTCTCCAGGCCAATCTCAAACCCCGGGTCCCCAGATGCCTCCTTCTCCCCGGTTACTATGGCACCCACCACTTGCACGCCCACCCGACGGTTCGTGCCACGGCATCCTGCAGAGTGAGGGAGCCTGGAAACCGTGCTCTGCACGCCCTGCCCGAGGGGCCCAGCCAGCGCACTGAGCCAGCCACTCACCAAAGCGGGTCGAGCGGGGGCACCTCTGACCTCCGTCAGCCATGAGCGATGCTGGGATTTCCTGGGGCAGACAGAGAACAGGCAGGGTAAGGAGCCGACGCGCTGAGGGGGGGGTGGGAAATGTGAAACCCGCTGCAGCTCATTGCACCTCAGCTCCTCGGAAGTGAAACTCCCCACGGGGACGTAGCAACCTTGGAGATCTGCTCCCAGGTAAAGGGGGAAGCTCAGGGTTCACGAGGCCCCTGGCCTAGATGGAGGAGGAGGAGGGTAGCACCACTCCCAGCCCCAAGGGCCAGCTTGGGGGCACTCAGGTGGGCCTACTGCACCCCACACTGGCTAGTGTCTAGCACAGCCTGGACATCTGAGAGGAAGGGCTCCCCAAGAGTTAACCCCTCACTCTCGCTAGTCCTCCCTGGCCTGCCACACAACAACCCAGGACACAGAGCACAGTCCCCGCGGGACAGACAGACACGGATGGGGCTGGGGGGCACTGAGCTCACACAGCAGCCTGGGTAGAGCAGGATTAGAAGCCCGGTGTCCTGACTCCCAGCCCTGTGCCCGAGTCACAAAAGAAAACCCCAGGATCCCCAGCCACAAGCACCCCATAATGGGCAGAAAGCAACCAGTGCAGGGGGGACCCAGCCCCACCCCAGGCAGGGCCAATACCAGCATCAGCCCTCACTCATTTCCAGGTGCACCCCCCTGGGATTATCCAGAGAGGAAACACCACAGAAGGCCCCGCCCAAGGGAAGGGGGTGGGCTCAGTGCTGGGGCAACCTCCAGTCAGGGGCTGCAGAAGGAGCCGGCTCCCCCCGGCTCACCCGTCTCACACAGCAGCCCCCCCACCCACAGCAGCCCCCTGAGCAGTGGTGGCAAGAGAAAGCAGCTGCCTGTCCTGCTTATATAAGTGACTGGGGAGGGTGTGGCCCAGGGACACCACCCCTTTGCCCTGCCCCCCAGAGAGAAGGCAGGCCCAGGGGAATGCTGGGACACCGGAGGAGCTGGGGCCTGTTTTGCATTGCGTGATTTGCAGCTCCACACTGACGGCCAGTGCTGCTGAGCATCCCCCGACCCATGAGCTCAGCACCCCTGAACGTCAGGCCGTAGGTCACGCTGGAGGCCTGAGGTGTGTATTGGTGGACACGCCTTCCAGATGGCTGCAGGGCATGGGCGTGCGCACCTGTGGGGGTTGCTGCGCACGGTCCCTCACCCGCCCAGGTCAGGTTTGCTTTGGGAAGCTGCCAAGCCACCTGCAGAACCCGGCCTGCCAGGCTGCATGGGTAACTCATGCAAGAAGTGGCTCCAGCAGGCCGCAGTGAGATGAGCCGGGGCTGAGGGCAGGAGCATGTGGAAGATGGTCCGGTCCCCTGGGCAGAGCAGGGGAAGTGCTCCGGCTTCTGCACGGCAGCGTGTCCCCCCGTAACCCGGCAGGATCCCCCGCCCCGCTCACCTGCACAAACTGCCGGGGGAAGAGCCCCGTCTTGCCAGCCAGCTCCCCCTGCAGCCACCCCTCCTCCGGGCCCGACTCCACCTTCCGCACGATGTCCCCAGCTTTCAGCCGCAGCTCATCATCCCGCTGCCCGGCAAAGTCCACCAGAACCAGGACCTCCCCTGGCACCGGGAGAGAGTGAGGCAGAGACGGGAGTTCTGCTCAGCAGAGCCGCCACCCCCCACCCGTGGGGGCAGGAGCGGAGCTTCCTGGACGAGGCTGGGCCCATGGGCCGCCCTCAGTTTGCCCCGCCTGGTGCAAGGGCAGCACCCCAGCCACAGCCCCGGCTCTCTCGCGCGGGGCCGGGGGCCATCGCTCTGGGCTGCTCACGGGGGCGCGAGCGTCAGGGCTGGGGCTCACCTGGAGGGTGCCTCCCTCCCTCGGTTAGACTGTGAGCCCGCTGGGGCCGGGACTGGCTGTGTCTGGGCAGCACCTGCCAGTGGGACCCTGGGCGCTTCTGCAGCCAACTGTTAACGGTAGCAGGGGCTGGCGCGCAGGTGTTCAGTGGGGCAGGGCCTTGAGCCGGAGAGCAACGCCAAGGGCCGGGCGCTGCAGGTGGGGACAACTCGGGCAGGCCCCAGGGGGAAGGGGGGCGTGCAGTCCCCAGGCTGGGAGGCTACTGAGCATTTTGGGGCAGGTGCCTGGCTTCTCCCCTCAGCGTGTGGACAGGGAGCAAGCTCTAGGAGCCAGCCCGGCAGGGGGTCCCCACAGAAGCCAAAGCCTTAAGCTCAGGTCGTTGGCTAGCCCCAGTGACACGCGGAGAGCAGCTGGGCTGTGGCCCCTCTGCTGAAGGGGCCGCTCCGCCGAGGCCCAGCCCCTGAGCCTGTGTAACTCAGGGCCACTCCACGGCGGTCGCGGGCAGCATGGCTCGCTCCCGCCTGCCCTGAAGGGGTTAAGATTGCCGCGTGTCTGTGGGGTGAGGTGGGCAGCACCCAATGTCTCCAGGCACGTCTCCTGCCCCCCGCCCCTGACCAGATGGCCCCCGTGAACCCCGCCCTGGGCAGCCCAGCCCCAGCGCTCTGGGCTACATACCCATGGTGGTTCCCGCAGCCTCTGGCTTGAGAGCGTGTGGGCAGGCCCCAGCGCGGAGCAGGGAGAAGCGACTCACGGAGCTGGGAGGGGAAGGCCGGTTATGACAAGCCTGGCATGGGGGCCGGGCTCTGGGAGGCAAACAGGCGAGGCCGGTTCTGATAAGTGCAGGCGATGGGGCTTTTTACAGCCTGGAGGAGCTGGGAGCGGAGCTGGAGCCGCAGGACCTTGGAGAAAGGCAGCAGCATGAGAGGACCGGCTCTGCCAGAGCTGCAGGCCAGGCAGCAGGACCGGGGCCTTGCCCCACTCTCCAGGGTCCCAGCCCAGGCTGCAGCAGTGACCGGTGGGAGCCTCTGCCACGCAGGCCGGGCGAAGGGGGCTGTGCCCCTAGCAGGAAGCCCAAACACCACGGCAAGGAGAAGGCGAGGGCCAGGGGCTCCCAGCAGGGCCAGGGGCGTGTGTGTGTCAGGGGGGAGCAGCAGGGAAGTGTCTAGTGTCCCCCTGAGCCTCCCAGGCCTAGACAGAGCAGAGCCTCTGTGCACCGCTGAGCTCAGACCCGGCGAGGCGTTCCGAGTCTCGGCCCCGGGTTAGAGGCAAAGGGCCTTGCCCAGGGTGGCACAGAGCAGGGAACGGAACCCAGGAGCCCCTGGCTCTAACCCCGCGGCCCCGGCAAGACCCCTCCGCTGTGCTGGCTGCTTCCCCAGCGCCTCTGCATCTGCTAGGTGCAAACGAACGCCCCAGCAGGGCCTGACAGGCTGCAGCCCAGAGACGTGGCTGGGAGGAGCCCGTCAGACCTGGTGACGGCTGTGGCAGACGGGTGGCCCAGCTGCTGTGCGGGGATCCCAGCATGCTGGGCTCCAGGCAGGCAGCCGCCCGCTGAGTCAGGGCGGTGTTCTGCTCTGTGCGGGTTAACAGCACCCAGCCCCGGGCCACTGGAGCTGTGATGGGCTGCTGCCCCCCAGGGCTGTTAGAGAAGGACAGGCACAGCGACTGGCTCTGGAGCATAGCCATGAGCCCCGGAGCCCCTTCTTGCTTCTCCCCCTGGGGTCCAGCCATGGTGCGGTGCCTAACTGGGAGCTTGTGCGTCAGCCTGGCCCGGTAATTCCCCCAGTGGCTCTGGTGGCAACGTCCCGGGGCGGCTGGTTCAACAGCACGGGGTGTATTTTGTGAAAAGTCCCTGAGGGGACCCCCAGACCCACCGGCTAGCATGTGAGGAAATGCACTCCATTGCAGTAGCTGGCTGGAGCCGGGGAAGGGTGGAGGAGGTGCGCTGACAGGGCAGGATTTAGGGGCTCTGTCTTGGGAACAACTTGACGACTTCAGCTGACACTGCTCGCTGTCACCATGCATGCATGCTAGCCTTTGCTGCATTGCCTCTTTCCTTCTTGCTGGGCTGGCAGGGCGCCCCGTTCCCATGCTGGGCTGGGGCAGGGAGCCCTGCTGAACCCCGGGTCACCGAGAGCTCACTCGGGTTAGGCCAGAGGCTGCTGTCAGAGTTTGATCCAATACATAGGGACTATCCGCTGCACCTGCTTCTTCGCCTGGGGAGGGAACCACCCCACCAGACGGGTTGGTTGTGCACTGGCGGAAGGCGCTCAGCTCCTGGTGAGGAGCACGCCATAAGAACCTCTCCATCTGCAGGGCTGGGCTCAGCTGCCTAACAGGGTTAGCAGGAGTGTGACCTCAGCTAAGGTGAGACCGTTTCAGGCCAGGTGCCTGCAGCCTTATAGAGCAGGGCTGGGGTTTGTTCCCGAGCACCCAAGATTGAGAGCTGCCCCCCTACCCCCCCAATTGGTGGAGTCCTGCCAAGAGCCCAGAGGGGATCAATCCTGCTTAAAAGACAGCCGAGTTGCCTACGGCGGGGGGTCCTGATGGAGGTCACTGGCGAGAGCTGCCAGGGATGTCTGCATCCACAGCCCAAGACTCCCGTTTCCTGTCCCTCTGCTATCTCCATTGGAAATGGAGTCCGGGGACAGATGAGAGAGACCCCTCCACATGCCTCTAGATCTCTGCTGCCCATTTAGGCACCGAAAGTAGTGCCCAGATCTTCAGACGAGCCCAGCCCCTTGGCTGCTGAGCCCTTGGATTCTGTCCCTCGAGGGGGCACGTAGCTGACAGTCAGGGGCTCGCAGAGCGCTGAGCTGGGACTCTGGGATGTGTAGCCCTCGGCTCTGCGGTTTAGTTTGAAAAGCCCCTAGGGGCCATGAGCCACCTCACAATCACGGAGTGCGGGGCCCAGGCCCACTCACACACCATGTTACCTCTGAGCCATGTTGTTCTCAGGGTTATTTACATTGGTTCATTTATTTGTGTTGGTTTGTTTATTAAAGAAACTTTATATGAGCCCATCCCCCCTCTGCATTTATTTCCCCGCAGCGTGGTCCCGCGAGTTTGGGGTGGGTACAACTGGAGAGGGTGAAGCAGGAAGCACCCGCCCATCGGCAAGGGAGACATTTACTTTGGATAAGAGTAGCAGAGCAAACAGGAAGGAAATACAGGAAAATAAACAGCACCTGATGACATACGTCCGTGGGTTGATTAAACCTCACTCTGGCAAAGGGACAAGGAACAGGAGAGCCCCTTCTCCACCATCTCTGCACCCTGCCTAACTCCTGCATCTTACCCCGTTTGCATGACCTATTAGATAAGTGGTAGAGGAGGGGTTGGTCCCCTCCCTGCGCCAAGATCACCTAATTGCCTTCCAGACTGTCTTAGGGAAGTTCCAGGATGTCAGCTCAGACACCGAACCCTCTCCCCGCAGGCAGGTGCCTCGGACTGAGGATTCAGCATTGACCCGGCCTTTGCAACTGATCCATGCTGTCGTCTCAGGGGACATGGCTCATTGGCTGCAGGTTGAAACTATAGAGCTTGTACCTTCACGCTGCTCTCCAGCAACCCTGGATTTCTCAGGGTGGGCCCTCTCCCCCCCGTGGCTGCATACACATGGGTAAGTAATCTTGATCGGTGCAGTCACGGTCCCTATGTTCCTCTCCAGAGCTTTGGCCACTGGCCTGTCCTAAAAGCAGAAGTGTCCTTAATGTGAATCATTCCGGTTCTCCCCTGACTTCACTGCCCTGGCACCCCTCAGAGCTGCGATCACTACTGCCATGCCGGAATCTGCCTGGCAGAGCAGCAGGAGAAGGGGTGTGCACAACACGTATTGATTGACTGCAGGGTGATGTCAGACGAGAAGGGGCAGTAACTGTCCTCAGCTGTGACAGAAGATCCTGGAGGCAGGATCACTTGGCGATTCCCCATGTACAGCTGCATTTTGAGGGCAATCAGTTAACCAGCTTTTGACCCATTTTTCTGATTCTATTTTTCCCAGCTGATTGGGCTCAATTGTTTTCAGGCTTGTGAAACTGGCCCTTGAAAGCACCAAGTGGGTGTGCACATGCATGTGCGTGTATTATTCTGTTTGCACAGAAAGGTAATTAGATAGTTGTAACATTAGGTTTCTGGCACCTTCCTCTGAAGCAGCTGGTTTCTGGCCAGCCTCAGTAAGAGGACACTGGGCCAACAGGTTTCAGAGGAGCAGCCGTGTTAGTCTGTATTCGCAAAAAGAAAAGGAGAACTTGTGGCACCTCAGAGACTAACCAATTTATTTGAGCATAAGCTTTCGTGAGCTACAGCCCACTTCATCGGATGCATTCAGTGGAAAATACAGTGGGGAGATGAATGCATCTGATGAAGTGAGCTGTAGCTCACGAAAGCTCATGCTCAAATAAATTGGTTAGTCCTAAGGTGCCACAAGTCCTCCTTTTCTTACTGGGCCAATAGTTGATCTGGGACAAAAATTGTTACTTTCCTATTTAGGTGTTACAATACCCAGGTTCTGCGAGGTGACAGGTTTCCGATCTGGGTTTTGTGGGCACGTTTAACAGCTTTTCACATGACTGCACCCCATAGTTTTGAGGGTAACCACATTTTCATGTTTAAATTTGTAACTTTCAGAGACATTACAGTTCTAAGTTCGCCACGAATGCTGTTGTTGAGCACACCTATCACCACATCACTCTGGTTCAAGTACCCAGGGGTTAAATTAGTGACATCAGTGAGAATATTTCAACTTTGATACCAGTGAAATGGAATTACCAATTCATTCTCTGCCAGTTTATGGAGCTATAGATTTGCACTGTTCGTTTTATTGATGGGAAACTGAATTGGTGACTGTGGGGCCCAATTATAGCTTCAGTCTCTCTCTACCAAGGAAGCTCACTTTTGGAGCATGCTGGTGGGTGGTTTCTCCTCCACCTGTCCCAGTCGTAAGTCTCTCTCATCAGACAGTATCACAATACTCTGAGTGCTTTTTAAAGCTGCTGAGCTTTTTACTACTCCTAGCAAGTCAAAGAGAGAAGCTCTGCAGCCTGAAAAAAGCCTTTGAACTTTTACACCCCTCAGCCTGTAGCTCTAATAACCTCATCACTCCAATAAAACCCAGGAGACAAGAACTGGACTGGTGAGATGCTGCTGCAGACAAACTAGCTGACAGGTGACGGATGCAGGAGACCCTCCCTCTGGATGCATACACTAATATTCTAACGTCATTGCTCTGAATTTAAGTGTTAGAGTGGAGCTGCCCTCCCAGTGCTATGTGATCCAGAATGGGCAAGAACCGTATTTCAAGAAAAAGCAGGGTGTGTGCTGTGAATGTGGTTCGCTACAACCATACCTGCCAGTGCTGCTCCCGCCCTAAAGCAAGAACAACCTGCCCCAGTTCTTGAGAATTTCATTTGCTTAAGAAACAAAGTCTTTGTGAAAGACAAGGCTTGCTGTGCGTGAAAGTCAGCAGCATCCTGGCCAGGACTGTGCAGTGAACAATTCCCAGTGGGCAAATCCATAATCATTTAGGCAGAGGCATGTTTTAACTGATCACCATTAAGTACAGCACTCAAGGTACAAATAACCACTTAGTGCCCGATTACTGTATCTAATCTCTACTGTACAATCTATGGGGTAAATAATCCCTTACTAGATGATGTGTTAGTATAGTACTGCGGCAAAGTAACATCTGAAATAATACAGGCAACAGTGAGTGCATGGAGAAGGCTTGTATTCCTCAGAGCCAGTCTCTTGTTTCTACACTACAGAATGAAATAAGGAACGCTGTTAATCTTCTTGTCTCTCTTTAAGTACAGCCCTCCACACCTAGCTAACCATGTGACCTAGAACTTTCTTGTTCTGTACTTTATTTAAACCTGCAGTCAGTGCAAACAGTTGAACAATGGAGACAACCACAAATGCATCAGTTCAGAATTCCCTCCCCACTTTGTGTCACTGTGGCTGATTCCAGTTTGTCTCTTCCAGATCAGTCAGCACTTTTTAAAGCCTCCATTTCCAACAGCACATAAATTGCTCTAGGAGTCTACCCTGTTGCTGGACACAGCATTTACTACTTTTGGCTTCCCCTCTCCACTTGGAAGGCAAAGGTCTGGTGCAAGGGGAGGCCCCGTACTCAGCATGAGAAACAAACTGGAGTTACACCTACGGCTTATTTTATTGTATTTTTATTTGCATGAGGAGTTGAAACAAACTTTAGGGGTTTACTAAACAGGAACTGTTCAAGTCAAACAAACTATAATTAGCAGGTGATAGGGGGAGGCCCAGCAATCCTGGGGAAGGCAGAGATGGAGGGGGGCAGAGGCTGATGTCTTTTTACAACATGTGCACACACTATACCTGTGCATGAATACGCCTCTCCTCCCTACAGGCTCACCAACCACTGAGCTATTTGCTAAACCTCTTCAGAACACTGTAAATGTAAAGCTGAAGGTAAATGAAACCACAACTTTCCTCAGCCAGCACAGGAGGAATTTGCTTTTTTGTTTTAGAAAAAGATTAATAAAAATATTGAAAAAATTCTTCTCCTTTTATATATTTTAACCTAGTAGAATTCAGAAGTTTTTTAGAAAACTATGTTACCCTGGAAAGAACATTCAAGTTCACAACCAGCTGCAAAGAGGATACACACAATGCCTACAAGCAGCTTGGGATTCCAGCACACAAGAACCAGGTCTACCGGCACACACACTAAAATGGGTGAAGAGCAGGGTGCATTTTTGCCATGCTAACTTTAACTTTCAGCATAAAAGAAAAAAATAAGGTGGTTTTAAAAAGGCTCTAAACTCAACTTATACATACAAAAATTAGTTTTTAAAAATAATCATAGCAGTTTGGTCCCAACTCCAAGTTAACATTTAGATGTTTATTCACGTGCTTCATTGTTTTCTTATGAGAACCAAAAATAGTTTCCAAAATTAGCCATCTTTAATTGGTGTTACTACATACGCAAAGGCCTAAAATAAGTAGAATATGAATTTAAAAAACAAAATACACAAGAGGGGAGAAGAAAAATAAGCAGGTGAGTTAATCCCCACCTTTATCATCTCTAATTATAAGAGAAACAAAAAATGTCAAGATACTGGGTTAAGCTGGGCACAAACTGAAATCCATATAGTCTTCAAAGACTGTTGCCAAAAAATATCTGACCATCTAATAAGGTCACAAACAAGAGACAAAATTTAGGATCACACTTGATATTGGACCGTATTCAGTCCAGCAGGTAAAGTCTTTGGGAAGAAAGATATACTCCAAGAGTGGATCCGAATGTAAGTGATCAGTCCCAGTCCACATGTATGGAGGCTGAATTTAAAAATGCAGTTAACTTAAGATAATTTCAAAGCTCTTTGGCAGAGCTCGGTTCAGCACATCAGCATTACCCTGGCAGAGACTCCAACACTGCCTTGCCGGATCCTCTTCCTCCTTGCCAGGGTGTTCAGGGACATGCAGACTCCCTGGCTAGTCAGCAGCTGACTGTAGGTTGTCCTTTTCCTCTCGATTCTCCGTTCCACTTTCATCATCCTCGATTTCTCCCTCCTCTCCACTAAATTTGTCGTGGGCCCACTTGGGGCTAGTGCTCGATTTTCTGAACATGAAACGACCTCTCCCTCGGGGGAAGGCACCCCGGCCTCTGCCTCTGTTCACCCACTTCTCACCACCTTCACCCTCCCGGTCATCATGCTGCACAGGGAAGAAATCAGCCAGGTCAGACAATACTCACAAATCACTTTCATCAGTAAAAACGTAAATAGGCACAATATCATCCCCTAAAATAACCCCGACTTAAGCTGTGCAATACTGCAGCACAAATCAGATCCCCTTATAGTTTGGGCAATGTGTGTCAAATCAGATGACTAGTGAATTCAATACATAAAAGGCGTACAAGTACATGTTTGTGTTTGAGAATAGCAGCCCACTGGTTGAGGTTGGAAGGGCATTGCTCACTAAGCATTCTTTACTTTCCCCTCTGTTTTTGTGCATGTGTGTTTCTTTTTCTGGCACAAAGCTTTTAGCAGTTTTCTGGACCAGGAAGGACACTGGTGGCACCAACACACTCCAGACTCAGTGGGCCTGCAGCTGATTCTGTGCTTACAGCTAGGAAGTTATTTTATGGAGGATTTTACATGCAGTTATATTCGTCCCACCTAACTAACTCTTCTGAAAAAGCTTTGCACACATTTTCAGATGCTCTTTTGACCATGAATGTTATATGTACAATACATTTTTAAAAACTTTTGGGAACATTTTCCATAAGAGAAAGATGTTATTGGGACAGCTAATTTTGATTAGGTTTATGGACTGATTACATGACCCAGAATATTGTATCTAGGAGAGTGAAGTAGAGACCAACACAATATATAATAAAGATTATGTCTTCAACAGCAATCAGAAGACAGGGAAGAAGAAGGGACAGCAAGAGTGATTTAGGGCTAAGCCACATACGACCTTTATAATAACTCTGAAGAAAGATTAGAGGGATCTCAAATATCCAACAGAATGGGGGGGGAGGGTTGGTGAAAATAAGCTATAAAGCTGACACTAACTCAAAAGTGAAGCCCTAAGAGAAATCCATGCAGGATTTTGCCAGACTAGCCGATAGAAAATGAAAGAATGCTACAGCCAGCAATAAAAGTGAATCGCATTAGCCAATCCCAGAAGAAGCAGGCACTGTAGAGAGTGTTGAGATGCACAGCTCAGTGGTTTGAGCATTGGTCTGCTGAACCCAGGGTTGTGAGTTCAATCCTTGAGGGGGCCATTTAGGGATCTGGGGCAAAAATAAGGGACGGTACTTGGTCCTGCTGTGAAGGCAGGGGACTGGACTTGATGACCTTTCAAGGTCCCTTCCAGTTCTATGAGATAGGTATATATCCACATTCAAGTTTCCATACTGCCCATGGAGGACATGTTCTTTTACTGGGCCCTCCAGATTTTGGTTAGTGGCAAACAGTTCTACAACAGTCAGAGCCGACTGCTCCCTAGATGCAAGTAAAGATTTCTAGAGGCCTCTTGTGGGGGACAGTGATTTGAGAACCCCAGAACTGGTATTTTAGATGGCTTGATGGTTGCTGGTTCTCTCTCCCCTGAAGACTACACGTAACCTGTAAAAAGCAGATAGAATGCACAGCAAGGCATGTTCATACATACCCTGGTTCTTCAGAAACATACCAGATAATACTTCTTGCTCTTGGGTGTGTATTCTGGGTCCCACTCCTCATCCCTGTTTCGCTTCTGGAAGTCATTGCCGCTGCTGTTGTTGTTGTTATTGTTTCCCGAAAAGGTACCTCTGCTCCACCCTCTGCCTCTTGCTCTGAACTGGAGTAGCAGTGAACAGAAGAGGAAAAGAAGAGGGGTAGAGAGAACAGGGCTTAGAGAAATGGCATTAGGTCTTGTCTTTTCTGTAGCTCTAGCTGTTCCCAAGAACACCTTTAGCCTAGCCACAAGAAGACTGTCAAACACCTATACTCTCATTACCTATTAATATTTTTGACCGTATCTGATCATATAGCTACCCCTGGAAATACACAGCTATCTATCGGTTTATATGCACGTGCAGGGAGTGCAAGGGAAGGCATTTCACACATACAGTGTGCAAACACAGCAGGGCTATTTAATTAAAACATGAGCTATTTCTAAAGGAACCAGTGCAATTGCAGCCAGAAGAGTCATTAAAATGGCTTCATCGTAAGTTCTCTGACACAAGCTCGTCTTTACTCCTGTCAGTGCCGCTGAGCAAATACTGACACACTAGAGCCTACTGGACTGGATACAGTCTCAAACATCATCAGCAAGACTGCCAATTTCAAGCTCCAGAATTTATGCTGGGCTGGTGATTGGGAGCCACCATAGAGTGTAGAATCACCACCAGACTAGTGTACTTCCAGTCCCCTTAAAGATCACATTACCTGGTAAAAGCAGCAATTTGCACAAAGTCTTATGCAAAGGTTTTATACTCTTGTTTTTTTTAGGGGGTAACTTACGAAGGTCCCTCTAGCTCTTCCTCTCTCATTTGGGCCAGCAAACTCTTTTGTCCCAAGCCGGGACTTGTCAAACCCTGTGGTACTCTCCTCCCTCTCCTCGCTCTCCTCTGGGTAGTCCTCCCCTTTGTACGAACGAGAAGACTGTGAAGATGAAGAAGTGGACCTGGATCGCTCACGCACTCTCCTGTGTTTCCTGTACCAGGGATTGAGAGGGGGAAAGGGGAAGAGAAAATCACCAATACAGTCACTAGCTTGGTACGGTCCTGTCTCTGCTGTGAAGTCACGCTATCACTCCTCCGCCCTCCCTTATTATGTCCGTGCACAGCCAAAATCACAGTTAGTTAACGGCTCAGAATCAGCTACAGTGTGCAGCTCTGAGAGGTCACAGGACAGCTCCTTTCCCAGGATTCGTTCTTAAAACCATACACAAATTGTAAGGAGGCATCTGACCCTTTTCAGCTTACACTGTTTGTAATAAGGTAGCAAACTGAAGCCCAGCTGAGAACAGAGCCACATTGTGCTAGACGCTGTACAAACACAGACAGTACCTGCCCTAGAGCTTACAGACAAAACAGATGAGACAGAGGAAGAGGAGATGGGAAGTGACTTCCTTAAGGTCACAAAGCAGGTCAGTAACAGAGCTGGGAACAGGACAACCCAGGTCTTCTGACCCCCAGAGTCCAGGGCCCTGTCCACCAGGCTGTGCTCTCTGATCACAGAGGTCTTTAAACCTATTGTACAGCTATGCAGCCGGGACTAATTTATTCCTCCTACTGGCCTCCTTTCTCCAGTAGGTATCTCGACCTGCATCATTACAGGAGAAAAAAATCCACTCAGTTGAAGAGGCTCTTTTTGTTAAGAGTTTCCAGTTATGACACACGTTTGTAAAAGAAATCCAGCTGCATTCTGTTATAGGAGAAATTTCAATTTAAGGTAACATCACTCCATGACATGACCAGATTTGCAAACTGTATCTTTATAGAAGGAAATAAAATGGTCAGCAATTGCATGGTAGAAGAACGTTACAGAACAATTCCATGAGGCTGAGCTGTTGCTCTAAGCCCGATCCAGCGAAGCACTTAAGCGTGTGTTTAACTTGAAGCACGTGAATAGTCACAAACTTTAATGGGAAAACTCATAATTCATGGTAAACACAAGTTTTGATGGATCAGGGCCCAGCCTGCCAGTTCAGTCTGAATTTATGAATGTGCACTAAAAGGCTATTTCTTTGCCAACTTTGACAGACATGGTGTCATTCAAAAGCCAGCAGCTTATAGATAAGCAGTAAAGATATTTTATTTAAAAATTAAGTCACCCATTGGTCCAGTGAACTCAAAAACACATCACAAGGTTTCTCCTGGGTTACAAATTAGTCACAGTGCTAACTGTGCATCAGTTAAAAGGAAAATGGAACCAATGGGAAAGTATTAAAATGAACCTAAGAGCAAATCAGTGGAGTCACTGACAGCATTTCTCCATTCTGTGTGAAGCGAAGGCAGTAACAAAACAAAAAGGTAATTTGCTCATCCTGGCACAAGCAGCCACTTTTAGTTTGTTTCCCCTGATTATTCAACACGTACGATAGCTGCACTTCCCCTTTGTAGTTCTGCATCTAATCACAGAAGACAAGCACAGCTCAGCTCTACTAGTTACAGCAGCAGGCATACTACTAGGGTTGTCAAGCAATTAATCGTGATTAATCGCGCTGTTAAACAATAGAATACCAATTATTTTGAATATTTTTGGATGTTTACTACATTTTAAAATATATTAATTTCAAACAACAGAGAATACAAAGTTTTAATTTATTTTTGAATTAAAATATTTGTACTGTAAAAAAAGATAAGTACTGTAGTGCAATCTCTTTAACATGAAAGTCGAATTTACAAATGTAGAATTATGTACCAAAAAATCCTGCATTCAAAAATAAAACAATGTACAACTTAAGAGTCTACAAGTCTAATCAGTCCTACTTCTTGTTCAGCCAATCACTAAGACAAACAAGTTTGTTTACACTTGCAGGAGATAAGGCTGCCTGCTTCTCCTTTACAATGTCACCTGAAAGTGAGAACATTCACATGTCACTGTTGTAACTGGCGTCACAAGATATTTACAGATGTTTTTGAGTGCAGTTATAGAATAAAAAACTACATTTGTAAATCGCACTTTCATGATAGATAGATTGCACTACAGTACTTGTATGAGATGAACTGAAAAATACTATTTATTTTGTTTATCATTTTTACAATGCAAATATTTTGTAATATAAAGTGAGCACTGTACACTTTGTATTCTGTGTTGTAATTGAAATAGATATATTTGAAAATGTAGAAAACATCCACAAATATTTAAAAAGAACAGAAGTATTTGCAGCACCTTACAGACTAACAAATTTATTAGAGCATAAGCTTTTGTGAGCTACAGCTCACTTCATCGGATGCATGCAGTGGAAAATATAGTCTGCAGTCTGACAAGTCTGCAGTCAATCAGGAAGTAAGGGGGGGAAATGGGAATCGTGTTTTGCTAAGAAGGGGGAAAATGGGAACAGGGACACAGGTAAGGCTCTGTGGTGTCAGAGCTGGGAAGGGGGACACTAAGGAAGGAAACTGGAATCATGCTTGCCGGAAGTTCACCCCAATAAACATTGAATTGTTTGCACCTTTGGACTTCGGGTATTGTTGCTCTCTGTTCATGCGAGAAGGACCAGGGAAGCGAGTGGGTGAAGGAATAAGCCTCCTAACATCTTCCACTGTATTTTCCACTGAATGCATCCCATGAAGTGAGCTGTAGCTCACGAAAGCTTATGCTCAAATAAATTTGTTAGTCTCTAAGGTGCCACAGGTAATCCTTTTCTTTTTACGGATACAGACTAACACGGCTGCTACTCTGAAACAAATATTTAATACATTTCAGTTGGTATTCTATTGTTTAACAGTGCTATTAATCGCAATTGATTTTTTTAACTGCGATTCATTTTTTTTGTTAATCGTGTGAGTTAACTGCAATTAATCAACAGCCCTACATACTACCAATTCCATAATGCAAGGTCTTGTTTCCAATTACAATAGAAGTGGCAGGGATCATGCAATAAAGAAGTGAAGATTAGCCTTCTACATACTTCTTTTTTGACCCTTTGTGACTTCTCTCTGGTTTCTCAGTTGATCTTTCCCTTGAATGGCTTGAATCTCTTGAGTCCACGGATTCTCTCGACTTCTCTCGTTTAAGATCTCTTTCTTTATGTTTTTTACGACGTTCGATATCAAGGCGCAGGTCAACTGGGTCGTCTTTATATTTCCCTTCAGTCTGCAAAAGCAAGGAATGGGTGAAAGTTTAACAGAAAGGTTTAGCAGCTTATCAAAGACTTCAGCACCATTACTTTGCTACTGTCTGCAGAGACTTCTGGAGGGCATGAGTTTATAAACCAACCATTCAAAAATGCAGAATGATTCACTACAAGAATATAAAATCTTCATTTGAAGTCTTCAGTTTTCCTACATATTGTATTATATATACACTTTTCCCCTTTAAAATATTATAAACATAGCTTGATAATACAGGGGTGGGGAGGAAAGGGGAGAGGAGAGAAGGGGAGAGAGCATATCAGGAGACCAAAGACTAACTTGGGTTATGTATCACAGCCAGTGAAAATTGAGAACGTTAGTGGTTAACGGTCCTCTAATGGGAAGTCAAGTCCAACTGATTTTGTATAACTCAACTGGGGCACATATGCAACCCTAGCTCTTTATGTTTCTTGTGCCCCCAGGGGATTGCCACTGAATAACAGAATTCCTCTCACTCCTCAGAGGGACCAGACCCATCTCCCTAAATGTCAGATGAAATTTTAAAGTGCTAGATCTGAAGGCAGCACTGAAAGAGAGAGGGGCAATAGCTATTTGCCACTTGGAAGATGTGATGCTAACATCACGGTTACTGAGTCAAGTGGTGGAGTTACACAGAGGCCAGAGAAAAGCAGCTGTTGAATTTATTCTGGGAACTATGAATATTCTCGGAATCTTGTTTTAATTGCTGTCAAATCGAAACCAAACATCCTTACTAGTAATGATCTTCACAATGAATGACACACCAGTTGCACTTTATTTCACAGAACCAGGGGACATTCTACAGAAGATTTTCCCCTCCATGTGTCTGTCTAGCAGGTCTATTAATGTAAGGTACATTATGAAGAGAAGACAAAATAGCCAATAACCAGAAAAGGTACAGTCGAGAATAGTACAGTCAATTGTATGCAGAAAAATCTTCAGCACTAGGCACAATCTTTTAAATTTAGTTAACCAGAGGAAATTTTCTGGGTGTGTAACACTTGTCTTAATATCATTTTCCAATTAAGAAATTCTCCTTTGAAAAAGGAAAATAGTTATTGGGTTAACTGAGCAGGCTCTAGAGTATTTGCACACAGTGCTATGCTTGGGAACTGCACGACTGGATTTGCAACATACACCAAATGATTAGATTTATCTTGAATTAAATAAAGAGAGAGATTAGTAATTCTCTAGCTATTAAATTTTTACTTACATGAATTTCTAAACACTTTTTTGTTTAAAAAAAGATTAATTTCAATTAGCAGCAGGAGTGGGAGCTGGTGCTTTGTTTGTACTGTTTGCTCTTCTGCTTTCCCCAGGCAAAGGGCTTTAACTGTTACTCAGAGCAAAAATGCTCCCAACACGATGGCTGATAGGTAAGTGACAAAATCAGCAGCAGCAACCTTATGTAGCGCAGCAGACACCTATTTGCATTTGTGAGGGCACATCTGTTTCATGAAGGGCTGGAGAGCTGTTTGAAAACCATGTTTTTTATACACACTGCCAAGCTGGCGCTCAGAGATCAGGCCCATCAAATTCATCTCACCATCGTCCATGTCAAGCCACAAGTGTGTTTGGAAAAAATCAAAAACAAATATATGAAACAAGTAAGGTTTCAGCAGGACTGTTTAAATCTCTTCACTGTAAATATGTATGAAGTTGAACACACAAAGGTTAAAAACCCCAAAATATAACATTTTAGGTTAAACCATTTTTATGATTGCTTATAGACTGTACAATGGCTTAACATTGTTCTACTCATAATAGCTAATATACTGGATTCCCAGGGGCCTGGTCTATCAAAACAGGTGCTGAGTGTTAAAGCAACAGCAATCAACAGAAATGATACAGTAAAAGTGTTAGAACAAGATTTATTATCTGCTTAGTAATAGTGTATTTGGTTTAGATATGGATTTATTTTTACTTTCCTTTTTGACATGCATGTCTTTTGAAAACATGGTTGGAAATATCGCATGTATACAATTGATTTAATAATACTTACAAGCAGAAAAATATCACAAAAAGTCTCTTCTCTCATCATGGGCACTTGTTCCAAATATCCTCTCTTTTTTTCTCAAGCTCACCTCAATTGACTTTGGGGTCATTTACCATATTCTAACCACTTCACAAAGGTTGATGATACATTTTTAATAAAAATTAACCCTTTGTAGTTCATTTTTAGAATTATGCCCATCCTTAAAAGAAAAACACAAACTTAAGTAGAGAGTAATTTAAACAAAAACATCACTGTTAAGTTCATGCCCAATGCACTCATTTTGTTCAATTATTGATCAGATCAACAGTTCACCTTGTTGCCAGGCTCTCTGGAGCTCTTCATTTCCTCTTGAGAGAATCCATGTTTTCTGAAAGTACTGGGAGAAATATCTATCCTCCTAAAAATAAAGCAGAGAATGAAGCTATTACAGCCTTCCCATAAACAGTACTCCAAGATCTCCTAATCCTAATTCTATTTTAAAACAGGTAGTTTCTCCATTATAAATATACATTCTATACTGCTTTTTAAAGTAAAGTTGAGCAGGCAATTATACCCTGAAAGTGAGATGCTGTGCATACAGAGTAACACACAATCCTGATACTCAGACCATAACAGGTGCATTATGTTAATGAACTGACCATTAATGTGTTAAAAGTCCTCGTAATATGGTTTTCTTACCCATGACTGACTGGGCAGCTGATGAGCACGCATTACTGTGCTGGCCCCCACAAATCACAGGTCTCTTGTACAATATTTCATTGCCTACTTCAATGGCAAAGCCCAATAGCTCCAAAGAAATAGTTATCTAGCAGATTGCAAATATGGTAAAGAGGTTATATTTATTTACAAAAAAGAGATCGGCAAATTTAAACTGGGTTTGGGCTGAAAATCTAGAGTGATACTTCTCTGTGTCTAGATAATAGCATGGATGATCACACAGTGCAAACAACAATCCTTAGGCAGAAACACAAGTAGGGGATATTTTAAAAAGATAAATTCATATAATTTGGGAATAGCCATGTCATAGAGGCACCGTTGTCACTTACTTTTGTGGGTTTAAAATTGTGTGCGTGACAAGACCAAACAAGAACAAGAGGCCATTCAATAAAATGGAAAGAGACAAAATGTAAAGGTGAAAGGAGTAAAAATTTGTGGGTGATGATTTTTTTTTTTTTAAAGGACTAATCAACCTGTGGAATTCACTTCTTCAAACTAGGAGCCAGGAGCTAGCACGATTCAAAGGCAATTAGGCATTTCTGTGACATGAACATGCAATTACATTAGACATCATCAAAACAATTTGATAAGGGATATAAGCCTTCATGCTTCAGAGCTTTCAGCCATCCAACAAGGACTAAGGACAACCTTTTCTGAGTCAGATTATTCCATAGTTGTCCTTGTAGGGTTTTTTAAACCTTCCTCTCAATCAGCTGGGACTATCAGAGAATGGAAATCAAACTAGAGCAGGGTTTCTCAAACTTCATTGCACCGCAGCCCCCTTTTAACAACAAAAATTACGACAAGACCGGACCGATGCCTGAACCCTCACCCTGGGGGGTAACGAAACTTGAGGGCTTCAGCCCTGGGCGGTGGGGCTTGGACTTTGGCTTCAGCTCCAGGACCCAGCAAGTTTAATGACAGCCCTGGCGACGCCATTAAAATGGGATCATGACCCACTTTGGGGTCCTGACCCATAGTTTGAGAACCACTGAACTAGACAATTCACTGACCTGGCCCAAGACCCAGTATGGCAATTACTATGTTCTTAACTACATGACTGATAAGTTTTGTTTACTGTTGGCTCCTCTCTTGTATTTTTGATTTATGCCCCATAGTTAACTATTAATATTTTAAAAATACCCCTGGAACTTTAGAAAAAACATTAAAACAATACCCCCCACCTGTGGATTTCAGGGCTCTTCTTGTTTTTAGCTTGATCTTGCTCCATTCCTCTCTTTAGGTATTTTGTAAAGCGTTCATTCAGTGTCATTCCTGAAGACCCAAAGTGATGCTCTGTCGGGGTTTTCAGTGAAGAAACATCACATAATTAATACAAGTCAGATTTTAGGAAAAGGCATGTGAGCTCTAACACCATGTCTGCAATGGCTTCAGAAAGTAAAAATGTGTAGCCAGGTGACAAACGGATGAGAGTCAATGGCTCTAGCAAAAGTGGAGGCCACCCACTTGAAATCAGAAAATGGCACATGCCTGTGTCAGTGGTGAATTCTGCCTCAGCTGTGTTTAACAATGAACATATTTTTAAAACAAAAACTAAATTTATGCAAATCCATTAGACTACCCCAAATATCTGCAGATCCCACGCCAGTCTACTGCAAGAGTGTTACTTTTTGCAGTTTTGAGGGTAGGCAAGACGGCCTCTCCCCTCTCCTCCTACAGCTAAATGCAAGAAGTTGGGGGAAAACATCCCACATGGTTGCTATTTTACTCTATCACTTGTCCTGTTGGTCAGCAATTCTCTTGGGTAATTAACTAGCATGAATGGAACACCGTTCCAAGGAACGGATATAGTGGGGTGGAGAAGCAAGGGGTGAACTTTCAACCAAGAATGTGTGGACACTTGACTCACCTTTTACATGATGGACTATAGTCACTATGTGCTGAGCAAACAATTCAGAAGGACTTCGCTGAGACTGAGCTGACTGTATATGGTGGAAAATGGAGCGGAACTCCTGCTCTTTTTTGTTGCTGTGTACTAAGTCACGACATAGCTTCCGCTCCTGCGCCAATAAACCACTTGGACTAGAAAAGAACACATATTTTAAAAATATAACCATCATAAAACCACGCTAAACAGAAGCAGCTTTCAAACTGCAAGTTGACAACCTTCAAAGCAATAAACTGGACTTATTCCAGCTACTGCATTTCATATACTACTAGAAAGTCCTCTGTAATACAATTTTCAATGGTTCTGTGTTTGCCCCCTTATATGGCTTCTGAATTACAGGTTCCTCTTTTCTGCAAGGTTCATCACAAACTTCCCTATTTATAGCCAGATCTTGTTACAATATGCAGGTGATGGGCTGTCTGATTCAGCCTTATATAGGAAGAGGTATATTTTACCTTCCCCCTCCCACCCCCAACATCTGGGGCTAGATTTTAATCTCAGAAGCAGTAGAGAGAACTGGATAGGACCAGGCCCAGAAGCTCATCTCAGCCATCATTTATCTGATGCCCAGGGGTGTTAAATATCCCAAAACCAGTGGAGGCAACCACAGAAGATGGAAGAAGGATCTTCAAAGCCCTGAAAAGGTTGGGTAAGACCTTAATATTGCCCTAGAATAAATCTAAGGAAAGCTGAATCTGTTAATAATAAATGTGCCTCACCACAATGGGCCATCAGACCCACACAGAGGATGAGAGAGTAGCATTAACAAAAGGTTGCTCAGAAACAGGAGAGCTAACTGTCCAGTATTGCTCAACCAGCATCCCAGTTCTTGTATGTAAGTCAAACCCTTCCCAGCACATCATGGATCCCACCCAGCCCTACATCCCTGGGGAAGAATAGCAGTCACCATCACCCTGCTGCAGCACAGAGAAGACTGATTTAAACAGAAGTGATTTAAAGCACCGAGCAGGAACTTTAAACTTTGATTTTAATCTTGTTTTACATTTGTACTTTAGTATAACCTTTCTTTAGGAAAATAACTCACCAATGAGAATGGACATTTAAAACATGTTGATCTACCATTAAATGTAGCCTTGACACTAAATTTGGTACCATTTGCGAACCAGGAGGATACACTGTATCTATACACATTTATTTAAGCAATTATATAGCATTACTTACTTTTGTTCAGATTCTTACATTATTACATTATAAAATGGTGACTGATGCATTTCTTACACACTAGATGCTAATTTTTTTACGTGTGATTTGTATCAAGCTGCATTCAGATGAAAACTGAAATTCAATTAAAAATGCAGAAAAACAGCATTTTAGAATTTTTTTATTAAATAAAGCTCCCTTAAATGTGCCAGATACATAAGAAAAAACTGACTGACTAAGCAAAGGAAGTCTGAATTGCAGTGAGTGAATGGACTGCTTATGGTCACAATGGGCCAGATTTTCAAAAGGTACCTAAAGATGCAGATAAGTGTCTAGTGGGATTACAAAAGCATGGGAGTTAAGCACCTAACTCTCACTGAAGTTAATGAGAGTTAGGTACTGTGGGTGCTTAAATGCTTTTGTAAACCCAGTAGGCACCTACATATCTTTGAAACTCTGGCCCCATGTTCTTCACATTCTTAGAACTAGTAGATCTTATTCTCTCCCACTCAGTTATTATTCATAGACAAGAAGAGGAAAACAAGTTTTCCTACTTTTTTGGCTCTTAATGGATTTTTCATCTTTGAATGAACTAGTCCAACAGAAGACAATCATCTCGCTACACCTTCTAGCTACACTGAATAATTAAAGTAAATGCTTTCTGGCCCAACAGAAACTGAAAGCACTCGCTGAAAGCATTCTCTCCAGACTAAAAATAATGAAAATATAGATCCTTAATGCAGTACACAACATTGTTTCCCCCCAATTCTGTATAAAAAAGCAACACCCTGATTGAGTTGGGGATTTGTCCTGTGTTGAGCAGGGGGTTGGATTAGATGACCTCCTGAGGTCCCTTCCAACCCTGATATTCTATGAACTCATTAAAACTGAAGAGACTCACTGATGCAGTATTTATTTACATTATTTTAACAGATTATGGTAAATCTAGGCCTTAACATAGGTTATCATAATTTCAAATTTAATTTTAAACTGATTTTTAAAAAGAAAAGTGTATTTAATATAAAGTCTGATTTTTTTAAAGTGAGGGTCTTTCATCCGCTTTGCTGCAGCAGAATATAATCCACCATCTCCACAGCACACGTCCCATGTATAGAATTGCTTCAGTAAAAAGCAAATCCTGTGGCTCAGAAAAGACTGTTTTTTAAAGCACATCCAAACTGCATTATAACGCTGTAATGGTAATTCTGATCACTTATTGTTTGCATGTTCAAAGTGCTGTTCAGATATTAATCCCTAAAACCCATGTTGCATGTCCTCACATGTGACTCACATGCCATTAGCAGCCATCTTAGTTCCTTTCTCTTCATTCCTGCTGAGTTTTAGCACTCCCTCCAGTGTTCCACAGAGCAAACTGACATTTATTGACTAGTTTCAGAGTAGCAGCCGTGTTAGTCTGTATCCGCAAAAAGAAAAGGAGTACTTGTGGCACCTTAGAGACTAACAAATTTATTTGAGCATAACCATTGCATTTGAGCATAAGCATTGCATCCGATGAAGTGAGCTGTAGCTCACGAAAGCTTATGCTCAAATAAATTTGTTAGTCTCGAAGGGGCCACAAATATTCCTTTTCTATTTATTGACTAGTAGCTCTTCCCTTTAGCAGAACTAACTTTATTGAGCATCCCCTAGTGGTCTCCTGAAGCACCAGAGCCTTACAGAAAATTTTAAGTGGCTTTTGGGGCTTCTAGGAGGATTTCACTAGCAATGTTACCATACATTGAGAAGAGAACAAAGTGCCTTGCAAACATACATTTTTTAAGCTGTAACGCTGACATTGCAACATTCTGAGTAGCTCTGGACAGTGGAGAGCAGAATTTGATTACTTTTGAACACGGAATGGTGTGGCTTGAATGAAGGACTGGGATCCAGAATCTCCCAAGTTCTAAACTAGTGTCTTTGCACTGACTTCCTGGGTAGCTCAGGGAAAGTCACTCAAACTTTAAGCTTCACTTTCTCCATCTGCAAAATGGGAATAACATGATTCACCTTCCACACAGGAGAGTCATATTGGTGTGTTAACATTTAGAGATTCATGTGCTCTCTGTGACAAATGACGTGTTGGTAGCTGATTGTACAATATTCTTTATTTAACCTGCCTATGTTTTAGAGAGATCCACAAGGGGTTGGGGGGTGGGGGAGAAGGGGAAATAGGCTAGTGAAGCCACTACCTAGATTTAACTTAAAGGCAAATCCTTACCGTGCAAGATCTTCATCAAAGGAATCCATTCGGACATTGACCTGGGCCTCCCGGGTAATGGAAAAGGAGGATTTGCCAGTGGCTAAACCATCTCCTCTGGTTCCTGGCTTCTCCCGACTCTCAGAGGCCTTTCTCAGAGGTGGTGATGTACTTTTTTCCTGACTTGCTTTGTAAGCAGTTACTCTAAAATTCTTTTCAGGAACAAACCCCCTGTGACCAGCTTCTGCTCTCTTGGATGCTAGCTTGTCTTCCTTTTTAGATCTTTCAGAATAGGGATCCTCCTCCATTTCCTCAGCTTTCCTTTGCTTCTCCTTTGCAGATGGTAAGAACACTATGCCTTCCCATTTACCTGGCCTATCCTCATCCTGAATTTTGCTGGAGGTTGCTACCACTTTAGACATGAATTTGGGCTCATCATCAAACTCCGAATCCTTTCGGCCCTTTGCCTTGTCTTTCTTATCCTGTTCATCCATCTCGTCTTTGCCATAATGACCTTCCTTGTGGAACTCTGCCATCTTCAGCTTCTCAAAGTCATCTCGAAACTTATAGCGTTTAGGAGACTGGCTACTGCGATAAGGCTTTTCAGGGTCAGTTTTGGAGGTGTACAGGTCTGATTTCATCTTTCCATCTCCTAAACCCAATTCAGAGAAGCCTCCCTTCTCTTTCATTTTTTCCTTTTCAACATTTGTTAGTTTCTGTTCCTTGTCTTTCCCATTCTCAGTCTTCTGTTCTTCCAAATACCTATTTAAAAAACAAACAAACAAACAAACACACATACACACACACACACACACATTTAAGCAATTCTCTTATTAAAGTATAGACAAGAGTCTTTAATTCCTAAAATTCAAAGCAAGCAAACAAGTCTTAAAAATTCCAAGACATAAAAACATAGAAGTCTCTCTCTGGTCCCTGATAAATAAGGTAAAATGTAAAGCTACCCAAATGTTTACTTTAGAAGACATGAATATGGTCTTAATATATTCAGCAAACGTGCTGGAAGATGGGTACGCAAAATGGATGATGTGAGGTTCAAGAGCAAAGTGGAACAGCAAAAAGCTCTTCTTGAGCAAATAAAAAGAGAACCAACTTAGCTATATTTTCTAAGGAAAATATTAAGGTCTTACCCAATCTGTTTAGTCACTTACAAACCTGGTTCAGAAGAATTAACACATCAAAACTTTCAACTTGGACTGTTCTGCTTTAAACAACACACTGGAAATAAATGCCTCAAAAGCTACGTCACATTTTGGATGCAAGTTTCCTAGGAAAGCTAAACATTTCATATACTGTAAACACAAATAAAAGCAAAAATAAAAAGGTTAATGGGAAAAAGATTTCTTCTCTTGGGAGGACAGACAGGCACTTTATTCTAGAACTGGGAATGACAATCCCCCAAACCAATTTAAAGTTTAACACATGCTGGTGAAAGATTATCAGCACATATTTCAATGCGATAGTGGTGGGTTAAGTCTAAAGCACCTCACACTATTTTAAAAGTCAAGAGTGGAGCAAGACCTAGTTCTGCTATCATCATCATCAGAGGTATTTGATAATTAATAGAACTTGCTCCAAATAATCTTAAATTAACAGAGAGAAATGAAAATGATTAACGAGCATTTGAGAACACAATAGTACCTTTCGAGTGAGGAGGTCCTTTAAAATGAAATTAATTAGAGGGACACTTGTCAGGGGCTTTGGGCTGCTGACTGGACCATATCAGAAAGATACTCCTATACTGAAGATCTTTTTTTTCCTGATTCCAATCATACATAAAATGTATCCCAATGCATGTGCACCCTGGCTCTCACCGTGTTTGTATTGGTTTGTTTCTATTAGGATACACAGTTAGTTGTGTGTTTAAGTTTTTTAAACAAAATTTTTCCCTTTGCAAACCTATAACATTTGCTGGAGTCCAAGAGCCACAAGCCTACTCACTCTGGGATAGATTTCAAGAGGGAATCAATATTTTGTCTGTTAAATTTGACAGTGCCCAAAAGCAAGCAAACAAGCCTTCTGCAAGTGAAGGTTTCAGTTGCATCAGCACCTCTTCTCCCAAAATCAGCAAGTCTGGCATCAGCAGCACCAACCAAATTTTTGATGCTCCAACATCCATTTAAAATTGAGAAATGCCCCAAAATAAGTAATTAACCATATGTGAGCTAGGGAATATACAACCACAAATATATATGTTATATGTAGTGATTCAGGAATGTGACAATTTTTAGACTAATAAAAAAAATAAAATTTCTGGAAAGCTCCTTGAGCACTTTAAAAATTTATAAAAATAACCTTCAAGTTTAAAAGGGAATTCTGAGGTATCTATGTCATCTTTACAACACTAACAAAGTTATGATGTTAAGAAAACAAAACTAGAGAACTACTTCCTATAATGCAGAATCAGGCCTACGACTCAATGAGAGTTACACACACCTCCTCAATTCCCCCACCCCAGAGTACCCGGCACGTGAATTGAACACAAAGGAAAAATGCACAACTTGCCTCTTTGAGAAGGCTGCCCCACCAGGAGTTGCTGCTTCCTCCTTCTGCGAGGCACCATAAATTGAACCGATTGTCGTGGGACTTTTACACACAGGACTCTTCCTCGTTGGGCTCAATCCTGATGAACCATGGTCAAACGGACCCTGATGTGAGCCTGTCTGAAATGAGGCACTGCTTTGTAAAACAGACCCCAGCTGTGAGGGGTTTGACAGTGGAGGACTGGGCTTCTGCAATGGACTTGGCCGAGGAGAACGGCGCCTCACCACAACAGACTGGAGAGGGCTTTTTAGCGCAGGACTGCGCTCTCTTGGGCTAAGCTCAGGCACGGCAGATGCTCTTGACACTGAACTTGTGCTGTAAGTGGTCATGTCTTGCCATGGCTTTGACCCCTCAGACACCTTGACATCTTGAGCAGCTCCTCCCGAAAACAGCGGATCCTTCGAATCATCACCTTGATTATCTCCTGCAGCCTGTGATGCCCGGGTGTCCTTGGAAGAGGATTTTTTTTCCTTTATGGACCTACGCTTAGAAGACTCAACTCGGCTGTGGTTCGAGGAAGACCGGGAAGATGAAGACCTCCTTGACCTATCAGAAGATGACTTATCAGAGTTTCTAGAATGACTTCTTGATCTTGGTGATGGAGACCTTCTCTTCGGCGATCGAGAGCGGGAACGCCCCCTACGAGGGCTGTAGGCTTGGCGATAATTTTGCCAATTTGACCTGTAATTTCCATAGCCTCCTCGGTTATACTGGCCCCATGGATAAAATCCTCGGTTCCGTCCACGGAAATAATATGGTCTCCTATACCCTCTGTTATGACCTCTGAAATCCCGACTCTGATACACTCTTGGGTGGTTCCTTTCTCTGTTGTGAGACGGAGAATATGATCTTGAACGGGACCTAGAACTAAAAAAGAAAACAGTATTTGGAAACCTCTCTCTCTCAGTGCAGCCTTCTGTTTGAAAAAGAGTTTTAAATGTTATTTTACTGGTTTTATGTAGGGGTCACAGTCCCTTAAGTGATTTTTCCTTTGCTCATGCGAACACTATACCTTTTCTCCCAGTGAACACTGTTGCCCCATCCACACACAATCCCTGGCAGTAATTTCACGACATCTGAACTACAGCTGGACAGGAAATCAACCTCCTTAGAATCACGGCTGAGACCATGATAGGGATACATTTGTTCTGACTATCCTCGGACTAACGTGGCTGGTACCCACCTTCAGAAATCCAAGTGGCAATCTCAAATGTCCAGTCTTCACAGTTCAAAGAGTGCCAAGGCTATCTCTAATCCTTGGTCTCCGGCAGGGCGGGAATGCATTTCTACCCCATAAGGCCAGCGCTGTCTCTTGTAACAGACTGAACTCTCCCTTCTTTGCAGCCCCTAAATATCTCATATGCTTTTAATTTAAACAGGATTTCAAAAAGAAAACCCTTTCCTTGCCAGAGAAATTAAATGAACTTCAACACTTGTAAGTGAAAATGGTAGCACTGAAGAGAAAAACCAAGGACTGACTTCTCTATATTTCTAATCTCAAACCATACATGAATTGCTGTTGTTCTTAATCTTGATCTCCATCAAGTAAAATAAAGACAGAGCATCAAGAAAAGATTGCCGAAGGCATTTAATGTATCCGTAGCCTGATGCCACATGATGGCACTGTTTATCAACACACATCAGCTTGCTTTTCAAGGGGTAGATATAAGCATGCAGGTTATGAATGGAAGAAGGAAGAGAACGGAATTTAGGACTAAATGGGAGCGTTCATATCTGGGGTTACAGATTTAAAGAACACAACATTTCAGGGGATATGTAAGTGCTGATCAGAGGTGGAGAAATAAAAGGTGTTTTTCCAATATAATTGGATTCCCCTTAGTTTTATCAAGTATTTAAAAACCTGCAGTAGTTGCAGTTTTAAAAGTAGTATCATGGCTCAGGATTAATCAGGTTAACGTACTTTATGAATATTGGACAACTGCAAAGTTGTACTGACAGGGAAAGTTATTAGCAACTATGTTCTTGTAAAATATGAAGAAAACTCCAACACTACACAGGGTTAAAAATCCCTGCAGCAAATCTCACTCACTGCTTATGATGATGGATATTTACTGCAAACATTAAAACACTTTTCTTACTGTATTAATAAAGTTCCAGTTATCTAAAGAGTTGACTAACTCTGGCAGTAACAGTATTTAGGTATCTTATCCTGACGGGCATTAGCTTCTACATCTCTCTCCCCAAAATATTAGTAAACTGTACATAACACTTTGCCACTGAAGTTTCTAAAGCTTAAAGTCAATTCTCACTTTTTAATTGGGTTAAAATGAGGTTCTCTTTTGTCCAATTATCAAATACACTAATGTTTAACAGCCAATGGCTTATGTTACAGCTGTAGTAACATCTGGTGTAAATCTGTGTCAATATAAATTGCTTCATCATCTCCTGATAGAATTTGTCCTCCTTTATTCAAAACAAGAAAACAGTGCAACTTACCTTAGATACTTTCTCATTCGAAAACAGTTATCAACACAAGAAAGAAGGAAAGAGACATGCAGAGGCAGGCAGTGAAAATGAACGGATTAAGAGCAGTTCTCCGAAAGCACTAAGCAGAATTCACATGCTCCCGTCCCCAGGCGACTACTGCATTTGTTACCAATTACTAGTGAGGGACCTGTTGCATGCTGCTTCCAAAATCCATTGTGTCATTTTATTGAGGCATAGAACATGAAAATCTCACTCCAAAATCTGCAGAGACTGTTCACAAGAAATTATTTAAAAAGGATGCAGTATGCAAAATACAATATACATGTGCCAGAAGTGATAATTATTTTGGACTGCATGGCTAGCCAGTTAATTTAATATACATTGTTCTCAAGTTCTGGCCATTCCACTCTTTTTACAACGGTCAAAAATGAAAAGAAACAGCAACATACTTGACCCTACAAACAAAAGTTAAGTACACAAGACTAACCGGAAGCAAACATGCAGAAAGAGCACAGAATACAAGTCAAAAAACCAAGGGACATGGAAAGCAAAATGATGTCCCCAATTTTTTTTTCTGAAACACAGATTAATTTTCTAATTTTCAAGATATTGCACTACACCTACCTCAGTGAGTATGTGAAAGCCTTGCAAGAAGATGACTTGTCTATATTAACCCTCTCCGTTCCAATTTTCTTAACAATTTATTACCACCACCCAAGTTGTTTCAGCAGCAACGCAAGACAAGAGAGATTTGCCCTGTTCGATTTAATGCATCTGGATTTCCATTTATCATAGTTTCTTCAATGTTGGCCAGATCCTCCAAAGCTATACTGCACCCTTTCTAATACTTCAGCTTCCCTGCAAAAGAACTCAGTTCCACTTGGGTCTCCATCTCTGCTTTGGTTTTGTCCTGGCCTTCTCCTCTTTCTGATTGTATTTTTATTATGTTTCTGTATCTTAAAAAATCCCTTTTAATAATTAACAGTTGCATATGTTTACAAGCCTAGCAATGTTCAGAATCTTAACAATGCATTTAAGATTCAAGAAAAAGCAGACGAACATCATAACATATATCCCAACTGGTATAGAGGGTTTTTTGTTTTGTTTTTTTAAGTGAAGATCATTACCAAATGGTGGTGGCCTTGCAAGATATAAAAAGCCTTAACTAGTCATGTAGGATACTGGGTGATAGAAATCCATGCTTTCTTTTTATTTAGTCTTAAATTGGTCCAGTCAGAAGTAATTCAGAGATGCAGCAACTATCATGCACACTGAGGATTTCTCACCATAGATCTCAGCAGTGAGATTAACTAATTTACATGATCTGCCCATAGTTACCATTGCAGAATTCAGTTATTGATTCCCCTCATGCTAGAACACCCCCCCCCCTTTCCCATCAGAGGCTTAGACTGACATTCTGGAAGAGACCCTCCTGAACTCAACTCTAAGAAATGCATGACTTTTCCTAAAGACCTTTTTTAAAGCGGTTATCAATAAAGTTGGGGGCGGGGGGATAGAGAGAGAAGAAGAGAACAGAGAAGCTAACAAATGAAAAGAAGGAGCACATTTCGCTGTGGAATCTCTCAGCTGTCTTTCCCATTTGTCAGTTCTGACAAGAAATGATGCCAAAAATGTCAACACTCTCTGATTTCAGGCCCTTAAATCATTAAAGTGAATAATTTACAAAAAAATTGATCAAGAACAACTTAGGTCTGTTAAGAGGTTTAAAATGAAGCCGTAAGAACAGATGTTATCTACTGCATAACAAAATAAAATTTCTTTCCTCCATTTAATCTGGGTCAACATTCCTTCACTAACAGCACAGTGTTCCGAGGAACATCATCTACATATATCAGAAACAGACGGGAATGTTACATTAAAATGATCAGCGATTACTAAAGAGTGCAGAACAATGCAAGACACGCCTGTTGTAGGACACACTATCAATAGCATATTGCAAGACAGAACAGAGAGCAAACAAAATCAGTAACCCAAGACACAGAACACTTAAGCTACTCTAGAAACTAACAAAAGGGTTTTCACAGGAGGGCTTGTTAGTGCAGCCACCATCTGAGCAGAACAGAGGGAGAAGAAACACTCTTTGAAATCAAAGGGTGCAATCAAGCCGCATGCATTACCTGAGCCTGCGTTTTCTTGATCGCGAGACAGAACGGGAGCGTGAACGGGATTTGGAGAAGGATCGGGAGCGTGATCTCGATCCAGATCTTGAACGAGACGAGCGGGATCCAGATTTTGATTTGTTAGTTTTCGACATCTTTGAAAGCTCCTTTCAGTTACACCTGGTTGATATATGGGGGAAGGAAAATAAAAAACAAGTCAGTGAATAGTTCTAACTGCTTGGTTAGCTTCTCTCTCTGGCAGTTTTGATAGTTCCAAAGACTCATACAGTTGCTGCTGAATCATGAAACCTTTTAATTCCTCTTTGCAAAAAGAAAAACTCTGGAGTGCAAAATTTTTTTAAAAAGAAGCAATGTAGCACAGAAACAGGAAGCAGAAGGAGGCCTCTGTGCTTTTTCAAGCATCCTTTTGCTCCAGATAAGTGAGTTAATTTCACCCCGTCATTACCAACAATTATGGTGTCTGTTTAAAAAAAAAAAAAGTGAATTAGCTCAGGTTTTCCATAAAGCTTTCTTCTGCTTTACATTTTTGAAAGGAAAAGCAGAGTAAGATGCCATCAGTAAAATAATCATCCTCCAAGATATCCTAATTTCACTCCTTTAGACGCAGATCTATTCAACCATGAAATGAAGTTCTGGACATCTTACAAGCCTGTGTGGTTCGTGCAGTTCTACAGTCAGTTACAAGAGTACAACATTCACTGAGGAGTCCAGCTGCAGTCCTTCTCAGTATTCATCCAGTGTTTCAAGTACTGACAATAAAGACGACTATCCCAAAGCATTAAAGGACTTGAAAGAACCACTAGATTATACAGACACTTTATTAAAAAACATGAATTTACCTGTGCTAGTTTCAGGAATATACCCAAGAAAAGCCAGACCAACCTCTTTGAAAGAGACCTTAATGCCTACACAATTGTTTCATTTATACCACTACCCAATCCCTACCAGACATACAACTCTTGAGGAAGGAACCAATAATGAAGAGCCATTGGAAAACGACATGTTGAAGGAAAACTTGTTGGGTAGTCTTGCTGTGGTTTTCCAATGGCTCTTCATTATTGGGTCCTTCCTCAAGATTTGGCTAAAATATAGGTAACAGATATAAAACATCTTAGATTAGGAGAGTAATTTCACAAAATTTATTAAAAATTTGGAACAAATAAACCATGTAAAATTCAGATGTGATATTTTGTATTTAGAACTGATGAACTATTCTTCTTTATCAGTATCTAATTAAGTCACAAAGTCTTGATACGCATTTTTCAGGGTCCAGATATAGATCTTAAGAAGTCTAATCATGCAGGTTATAAATGCCCTCCCTTGCGTACTCATTTCCAAAGAGTACTAGGCATAATTCTAGCGTACCACAGTCAGGGTCTACTGCCATTTCTACTTCATAGCTCCAAAGCAGCAGCAGCAAGTCTCATTCCTCACTTTGTTCAGCGACAAAGCAAATCTTTAGAACTCAAATTCTACAGTGCTGCAAAGAATCCACCAACTTTCACTGCTACTGGCTTCAACAAAACTTTCCCACTCAAAGTGAAAATGCTCCAGCCTCTCAGTTACTGAAGGAAAGGAAGAAAGTGCTGTTCCTCAGCGTAAACTCTCTTTATTCATTCCAAGATAGCACTTACTGGGGTGAAAGAAGGGTTAAATGCTAATGCATTTGGATTTCTAAGGGGTCTTCACTGGCAGCGCTTTAACGTGGCTTGTGTAGCCGCGGCATAGCGCTGGGACAGAGGTCTCCCAGCACTCTTTAAAAAAACCACCACCACAAAAAAAACAACCCACCACCTCCACGAGAGGAATAGCTCCCAGCGCTGGTGCACTGTCTACACTGGCACTTTACAGCGCTGAAACTTGCAGCATTCGGGGGGGTGGGAGGGTTCCACACCCCTGAGCGAACAAGTTCCAGCACTGTAAAGTGCTAGTGTAGACAAGCCCTAAGGAGTCGACATTAGTGCTTGGCGTAAAGCAATTAAATTTTCCCTCCAAATGACAGAGCAAAACTGAAAAGAACAACTGCTCCCAGTTTTAGCAAGAAAGCTAGATGGTATTCAATTCATCAAGCCCTAAACTTCACTGGATAATAGAACCAGCACCAAATTATTTAGCATGTAATAGGACATTAAGAAAAGGAGGACTTGTGGCACCTTAGAGACTAACCAATTTATTTGAGCATGAGCTTTCGTGAGCTACAGTTCACTTCATCGGATATGCATCCGATGAAGTGAGCTGTAGCTCATGAAAGCTCATGCTCAAATAAATTGGTTAGTCTCTAAGGTGCCACAAGTACTCCTTTTCTTTTTGCGAATACAGACTAACACGGCTGTTACTCTGAAACCTAACAGGACATTGATTCTCAACTGGTGAAATGCAGACCCCATTAAGAAGCAGAACCTTAATGGGAGCACGACTGGAAAAAGGTACCAAAATGGGATGTGTAATGCAACTTCTGCCTGAAACATGAGCAGAAATTTTGGATCGGTTTCAACACATACTCCTGCCTCTTTGGTTTTCCTCAATTCTTTTCCCACTTGCCTTCCACACCCTACTTTAGAATTCTGATGTATTAAGAGGTTTTAGAGCAGGGGCCTAAGAGAACAAACAAGCAAGAAAGAACCAGTGAGGTTTCTGGGGAAACACTGGAAAATATTTGCATTCATAAAACAAGTCTGACAACATTCTCTCCATGATATTTTGTTTGCCATTCAAATAAATCCATATCAGGAAATTCCCCACATCAGGAATCAGCTGTTCCCCCACCCCTAACAACTTAAAACAATAAGATTTGGGTACAGATGGCAGCAAAGAAAACACAAGCGCTGTTTGATCACTCATGCAGTTTCCTTATTATAAATGTGAAATTGATGCACGTAGAACCTAATGAGAGTACAGTGGCAAAATATATGTATTCATTATACATTCCTTATGATAGTGCTGATTCTTCATTTGAAATGGGTGTGTGTATTTGGTATTTTTGGATGTTTTGGAACATGTCACATAGAATTCATAAAATAAGAATAAGGCTGCAGAAGAATTAAACAATAAAAAAACCTCTACACACCTACATGCATATCTGGACGACATGCACCTTCCAGATTAAGGTGTTTTACTTACATCTTTTCCACAGGCTTACAGGAAGAATCCCCAGTTTTACCAACTGGAAAAATGAGGTGTCTTTTATAATCCTGCATTTTGTGTCAATCATAATACAAATAAATTTGTTAGTCTCTAAGGTGCCACAAGTCCTCCTTTTCTTTTTGACAATACAGTGAGACACACCCACACATGCGTTAGGCATCTGGCAATCTGAGACAGCAAGGCAGAACTCCTCCATGTTAACTAATTCTTATATGAAATTTAGCATGCAAAGCCCTTTACAGCAAAAAGAGAGACAGCTTCTGAGGCTGTCACTGGTATTTTAAGGAAACATGACCTTAATTTAAATCTGAGTATTAGAAAGATGATTTGCTACTAACTTTCCTTTTATTTTAGGCCCTGATCTATTATATTCACTTCTTCAAAATGCCATAGGCAGGCCAGTTTCAGACACTAGGTAATGTGAATTGTGTTTTTTTTACTACCTGGTTGTATTCTGTAGTCCCCAATCAGTTACAAATCCTCTACCATTAAGCCTGCACTGCTTCCATAAAAGGTGAACTGCCGACACACAGACACACAAAATTGTTCTCTTTGTTTCTTTAGGATACATAACCTAAAGCTTATTGTAAAATAGATATTCCGCTTTTTTTTTATTATTATTAAACATTAGTAATTCAGGTTTTGCCTATTCAAGGGAATGAACTGCTATGTGAGCAGCAGGCAGGCTCGGTGCCGATGTTCTTGTCAGCACCGGGGGAGAGTGTGCTGTCCATACCAGGTCTATTTTTGGTGCCGAAGGGACCAGTGCCAAGGAGATCTTCCCTGCACTGGAAGTCAGGTCCCTGCCTCTGTGCTCCACGAGAGCCGTGGCTTAGGTGCTGGAATGGTCGGAGGTGCCTGCCTTCGGTGCTGACAGCACTGAGGGTAAGGATCTCGCAGGAGACCCTTTACCCTTGTGAAAGTCTCTGCTCAGAGACAGTTGGGCTTCTTGCCTCTCTGCCTGAGAGGGTGAAGCCATGCTCCCAATTGGTTCAGACCTGGCCAGGGAGAGGGTTTGACAGTGCCCGTCTCCAGAGGTGGCTGCAGAGATTTCTGCTTGAGAAGCATTTTCAGCCACAGGTCCCTGTCATGACAAGCCCTGGTTTTGAGGCTCGTGCAATGGACACACTTAGCAGGGACATGTGTCTCACTGAGGCACTTCACACAACGTGAGTGTCCATCGGACCTTGGCATAGAGTCCTAACAGGAAGCACGTTTCTTAAATTCTGAAGTCCCTGGCATTATTGAACTTGGAGTGCAGGGGGAGAGTGTCTCTGCAGTAGACAAGCTTGAAAAAAAAGGGGGGGAGGGGTTTGGTTTGTTGTTTTAAACTAAGTAACTATTCTAAGGGAAGGGAAACAACTGGGATGTTACTAACTCACTCTTTATATATTCTTTGTAATTGTTTCCTTCAGAGACCAGGGAAGAGGATCAGCACTGCCCAGAGTCCCGTCTTCAGCCAAGGACAATTGAGAAGGAACTGAGGGGGGCGCAGGACGTGCGCAGTCAGGCAGACTCTAACGAGACCGAGAGACAGCAGCTGAGCGCATGCATCCTGACCACGCACTGCTACCGAAGATCTCCGATCAACGGCGCCGGGATGCACCGTCACCTGGAATGGAGCGCCCACAGGGATAGCACTCGAAGAATCCAGATTTCTTGACTTCTAATGTTATCTTAGATTCTTTTTGTGACTACCTGATCTGTTCTCCTAATTTCCTCTGCCTAGGGGAGATTACATAATTCAATGGACTGCTGTAAATATTAGTGCCAAATTCTATCTTCTGATATCTGCAATTCAGACCCCCTGGTTCCAGTGGGACATGCATGTGCATATTCCAGGGCAAAAAATGGCTCAATGTTTGCAAAATGTGTTGTAACCGCTTACTGCTGACTTTTAAAAAATTCTTTACACTGCATCTTCATTTTTCTAGAGTAACAGCAGGGGTACAACACACTACAGTTATAACTAGGAAGATTTTGCATTTTGAAAAAGGAGTTTTGCCCTTCCTGAC